GAGAGACCCACAAGGTCAGAGGCCACAGAGATGGGGCAGAGGGCACAGGGTAACCCAGGACTCCCTGGGCCAGAGAGGCCAGGAGAGACAGACAGAAGGTCACAGACAAGCAGACAGAGGCGAGACAGGGAGAGGCTGTCAGAGCCAGAGAGAGATCAGACAACCAGACGGAGGGGAGATGGCTTGGAACGAAAGGGACAGGGACAGAGACAGAAAGCGGCGTGAGCAGGGGGAGGGAAGGGAAGGGAAGGGAGCAACCAGGAGGGTAGAGGGTCCCAGTGGCAGGAGGAGGGCAGCAGAGGGCAGGTGGGGCAGGAGCCTTTGAAGCCGCAGCATCCCCAGAGCCGGGGTCAGGCCAGGTCGCTGGCCAGCGGGCATCCACAAGCAACATGAGCAGCTCGGTGCTCCTGAGAAAGAATTCTAGCCAACAGGGCCTGGAGAGCCTCCTGAGGTAGGTCCCGCGGCCCAGGCTGGGGAAGAGGCAAGGCAGGGTGCCCACGCCAGGGCCACCACAGAGGGTCAGCACTGCCGGGCCTGGCCGTGTGGCGGGGCTGGGTGTGCAGATCCCCGGGCCTTGCCCTGGAGCCCGGCCCCAGCCCGGTGGCTCTGCAGCCCTCTGTGGGCAGGGTGAGGGGTGTGCCGGGCCCGCAGGGCCACCTGCAGGTATGTGTGGGCGCGTCTGCTCCTCACCCATGTGCACCACGGGGCCTCAGGCTGCAGGCTCTTGCTGCTCTGAGACCCTTTCCCTGGCCCCCGGGTGGCTCCCTGGCCCAGACTTCCCAGGGTGAAGAGCGCACCTTCAGCGGGTGGCCAGGGCCTTCCTTGCCTGTAGCCCTGCTGGCCCTTGGGGCCCATCCATCACCCCACTTTGCAGATGATGAAGCTGGCCTTTGTAGTCACACTCACTGCGCCACCTACCTTTAGCGCGCCAGCCTTGTGCAGGAAGCATGGCCCAGGAATCAGATCTCCCCACGAAGGAATCCTGCTAAGCCCCGAAGGCTGCTGGGCTGGGAGGGCACCCTCGGGCCCAGGGCCAGTGCCCTGTCCGCTCTGGGCATCAGTTCCCTCCTCTGCAACGTACTGGTGTGGCAGAACCTGACTAACACAGGTGTGGAGAAGCAGCAGGGCAAACGGCCAAAGGCAGGCCCAGAGCCACTGCTCTGCACCTCTGCCACTCACCCCTCCCTCTGAGCCGCCTGCAATGCTCTTCCTTCTCCCCAACCCTTCCAAGCATATAAGGCCTAGCTGAAATGCTGCCTCCTCCACGCAGCCTGCCTGGGCCTCTCCTCTTTCAGGCCCAAAGGCCTGCTCCCTGCCTCTTTGGATGGGCAGAATGCAAGCTCCTGCAGGTGGGACAGGCATCTCTTTGCATCCTCAGGCCCACCCAAGCCTTAACCCCATGTGGGAGGAGGGATGAGCAGGTGGACAGGCAGGCTGAGCAGCAAGTGGCAGAGCTGAGAGCAGACCTGAGCCCCTCTAGCTCTGGCTTGCTGGGTCCCTGCAGATGTGGAGTGATGGCTCTCTCCTGGCCCCATCCTGGTATAGCCCAAGGGCCACCAGGACCAGTGACGGGCTTTGGGGGGCCCTGTTGGGCACGATCCCTCACAGTCCCACTCTGCCCATTCCTGGGGCCACCTTCCTTGAGTCACCTCCTGGGCTCCACTCACGTCTTGTCCTGTCTGGGCCTGGCAGGTCTGGCCCTGCTGGCCAGGGAGCCCTCGCATGGGGCCCTGTGTTCAGGAAGGGCCTCTCCGCCCTGCCTGCTTGGGACGTGCCCTCCTAAGAGTCACTGCTGTCCACCTCCAGGGACTCTGGGGCCTGAGGAGGTCCCAGAGTCAGTCTCTGGGGCTCACCAGCACCACTTAAAAAATGGGAAACAGGCCCAAGAGGAGAGCCGTACAGCCCGTGGGGGAATGACAGGAGGGGCCCCAGTGCCTGGCTGGGCACATGCCCCTCACCCCAGAAAGGCCCAGGCCACAAACGTCTGTCCAGCTGTGGCTCTGGCTCTCTCCCAAACCCAGTGCCAGGCTGCTGCCCTGGGCAAGCCGGGGCACACTGGAGGCACCAGTGGACTCGGGGGTGCAGCTGCAGCCCAGCCGAGGGTTGGGGGCTGGCTGGGTGTGAGCCCCTGAGGACCTGGGTGGGGGTGGGGGGCCTGTGGGAAGCAGGCCAGTGGGTGGGGGCAGAGCAAGTGTCCCTTTGAACTCCTGCTGTGGGCAGCAGGAGAGAGTCCCCCCAAAGAGCAACGTGCCAGCCAGGCCTCTGGGAGCAAATCCCAGACCACATGCAGCAATGCTCAGCGATGTGTGCTCGCCTGCTGCCCTCCAGGCCCCTGACCCAGTGCCGGGCTGGGTGCCCACATGTGACGTGAGGGGCCTGGGGGCTGGGGACGTTCCTGCCACCCCTCTGTAGTTAGCATCCACCCCTTTTGGCCACATCTCATTGATGTTGCTTCCCAAAGCCCAGGCAGACAGGTCCTTGTCCCTGTGGGAAGATAGGAGACGAGGCCCAGAGAGCCTAGTGATCAGCCCATGCCCTCAACCTCTGCTTTGCTCCAGTCCTTTGCTGAAGACTGCCCAGAGGCAGGGCAGCAGGGGGGCCTCAGCAGCTGGAGGTGGCCTCCTGGGACAAGTTCTGGGGGGCCTGCTGGATGTCAGCAGTGGCAGGGGTGTAAACTGAAACCATTTGAAGATTAAAAACTGCCCCATGGGCCAGGGGGAGAGGCAGCCCTGTGCCCTCTCATGCTCCCAGTCTGGATCTGGCTTGCTCCTGGGGCCCCGGGGACCCTGTGCCTTCCCACCTGTATGCCCGGCAGCAGGCTTCAGCTGCCGGGCCGGACTGCAGGACTGGCCTGAAGGGGCTGGGGGAAGCCAGGCCTCCAAAGGGCATGGCTGCCTCGGGCCCTTCCGAGGCCCCAGGTCTGGGGGAGTGGGGTGGCCCCACCCTGGAGAAGCAGCGCCAGGAGCCCAATGGGTGGTGTCCCTGCAGGAGCAGGTGGTCTGTTGGCCAGAGTGGGTGTGGCCCCGAGAACCCCAGCGAGCCTAGCTCTGTATCCAGAGCCCTGGACAGGGTGTCAGGATCAGAGCCCAGAGCTCTGGTGTTCAGGCTGGGCTGGAACCCAGCCCATGAATCAGAGTGGGGCAGAGCCGCAAGCAAGCAGCAGCCCTAAGCACTGGGCACCTGGGGGCTTCACCGCCATACCCCACACCCTTGAGGAGGCACCCAGTGGGTCCTGAGCCCCCAAAGATGGCTAGAGGGGCATGGCCCCCAGGAACACCTCATGGGGCCCAGAGCAGCTCAGCAGAGGTTGGTGGCCTGGGGCTGACCCACATAGGTGTCCAGGGGCAGGTGGGCACTGGCAATAGGAGGGGACTCAAGGGAGAGAAGCCCTCAGTGGCCCCTGCAGGGCAGGGAGAGGACGTGGGCCTGGCCCTGGGTGAGCCTGGAGTGAGGGTGGGCCTTGGCGCACAGCCAGCAGGAGGGCTGGAGGAGGGGCGGGGCCAGGATGCTGCGTGCCTGTGGCTGCCACGGCTTCTCCACACTGCGTCCTACCCACGGGTGGGGGGGAGGGAGGAGAAGGAGGGAGGTGAGAGCAAGGGGGGTAGGTGGGGGCAGCGGGGGAACGTGGGACGAGACCAGGAGGGGGTGGGACAGGACAGAGGTCATCAGTGGGGAGAGGCCGAGGGAAAGCCACAGAAAAGGGGTGGATAAGCAGGACGGGGGCTCGAGGGGTCCCCCATGTGGTCCCCCCGCAGAAGTGGATGGGGAGATCCTGCCTGTGCCATTGCCTGGGGCTGTGGGAGCCCCAAGCGAGCCCGGGCACCTGTAAGCCCCGGGTTCCCTCCTCCGTAGCGGCGCTGGCTGTAGGGTCACTTTGCCCCTTTACATGGAGTTGCTCTGGCTGAACCCCCAGCTCTTGGTCACGACCCTGGGGGCAGAGAGCCAGGGCAGATCCCACCTGACCTCAGCCGGTGGGACACGCTCAGGGCTAGCCTGGCACCTTTTGCGTGGATAAGGAAGCTGAGGCTCTGGGAGTTTCAGGGTCCCACCCGCCCCCCTGGGGGCTGGGCAGCAGGGGTCTGCAGCATTCGAGGATACACCCTCGAGGGTGGCACGATGGAGCCTGACTCAAGGCCAGTCCAGGGGCAAAGCCCCAGCTCTTCCTGCCCTGCCATGCCCCCTGCGCCCTCAGGGGAACGGTCAGTCCTGAGGAACTGGGGATTGAGGAATGCTTCTGGGCAGGGACTCAGCATCCAGGCAGGGCCTCCAGGGCCCTGGGGGCAGAGGTGGCACGGAGGCATCAGGCAGAGTCTGCTGCACACACTTGGGAGCCCAGGGCTTTCCAGAAAGGTGGAGCTGGGGGCCGAGGGTCAGGTGGTGAGATGCCAAGTGGACAGACAAGTTTTGAACGATGGACAGACCCCAGGACTCAGCTGAGGACAACAGGCATTTCACTGATGCCCGGGCCTTCGGGGTGTGAGGTAGATCTGGCACAGCCGGCAGGTGGAAGGGGACAGGCGGCAGAGGCTCCTGCCAGTGCCAGCCACCAGTCGTGTGCCTTGCAACATGCCAAGCCTGGCCCTGTAAGCACTCTAGAGCTGTTCCAGGCCGTCCCAGCCTGGCTCGGGAGCAACCGGCGCCCCTAGAGGGCTGTCCAGTGCCAAGAGGAGATGGGATGGGGCTGTGGCCCCTTAGGCCACTGTGTGGTCAGACCCTTGCCGGGTCCCCGGGGAGGTCGGGCTGAGGGATGCTCTGTGCCAGCGTAGAAGTGGTCGGGAGGGCTTGCTGAGGCCAGGGGGCGGGGCACCCTGGAAGGTCTCCTGGGCGGCACTTGGCCCAGGCCCCTGCTGCACTGTGATCAGTGACTCGGAGGGGAGGGGAAGGAGCCGCGTGCACAGCGCACAGGGCAGATGGAGGAACAGCGAGCACGGGGCCAGCCCTGGCCACAGCCATGCCAGGATCCAACAGGCAGGACAGACCAGAGTGGTGAGACTGTGACCTCCGACCTCAAGTCTGGACAGGCAGTCCAGGCAGAGATGGAGAAGAGCCACAGCGCCAGGGCCAGGAGGCTGACCACGGAGCACATCACAGGAGGTAGGGCACCCCACCAGAGGGAGGTGACGGGCTGTTGGCTGGCCATGGAGCTCCGTTCTGGACCCTCCTCTGGGGCAGAGGTGGACAGTCCCTGACCTTTGAGGACCAAGGGAAAGCTCACATAGAGGGGCTTCGGGGCCCAAGTCTTGTGGGACCCAAGGTCAGGGCTCTGTGTAACCAAGTTGTCAAGGGAGATCTGTACTTGGGCCCCTGCAAGGAAGGTTCTGGGGTCTCAGACTCCCTCAGGACTGAGCTGTCCATTACATGGGCCCTGAGGCAGTCCCCATGTCTCGGGTCTGGTGTGAACCCCAGGGGCAAGCAGCGTGCAGGGGGCAGCAGTGGTCCAGGGAGGGAGCCTCCCCGCCTGCAGGGATGAGGTCCGCTCCTCTTGCATGGTGCAGGGGGGTGGGGGGTCTCACTCCAGTGCCAGGGTGCCTGGGCAGCTGCTCCAACTGGGTGGAGGGTAGGGACCCCAGGGACAGACCCCGCCCACAGCACACTCCTCAAGGGAGCGACCGTCTGGAATATGCTGGCACTACGGGTCACCCTGGTGTGAGGGGCAGGTTTCCACATCTGGACCCCAGGGTAGGAAGAGAAGGGAGGGTGGGCTCTCAGCCCTCCCAGGCCAACTGCTGTGCCCTGACCCCAGCATTTCCCGGAGGCCTGTGCATCGATTTGCTGCCCAAGAGCCCCTGCCCTCTGCAACCCCATGTCCACCTAGGATGGATTTCCTGCCAGCTACTGCCTCCCAAATGAGGTTTGAAATAGGGGTCCTCCCTCCCCTTGGGCCCCCCCACAGGGTTGGTGTGGTTTTCTTGGCGCCTCTGAGATCATAAGGTGGGGGAGAGGAATGGTGGGGACAGAGGGTCCCAGGCAGGCCGAGGGGCTGAGCACAGGCCTGGCTGACTAGGGGGCTGTACAGTGGGTGGCAGCCATGGCGGTGCCCTTGCAGGGCAGCCGGGACTGGGCTAGGGTGGGAGGCTGGGGATGGTGGCAGCATGGACATCCCCTTGCCCTCCGTTCCCAGTGAGAGACCTCAGGCCCCCTTTTCAGCTGTAAAGTGGGGCGATGCCTCCCATGAGCGAGCTGAGAACGAGGTGGCACTTCAAGGCCAGCGGTGGGGCTGACATGGGCTGAGTGGGGTCTGGGGCAGGCGGTGGGGGCCTCTGGAGGAGGTGCTCCCGAGGGACTCCGGTGGGGTGAAGGAGGAGGAGGCGGGATCCTTGGTAACCAGAGATGGAGGCGGAGGCTGCCCTGCCTGGTCGCTCCAGGGACTGGTAGGAAAGGCAGACTTTTTTTTTGCAAGGGGGGCTCCTGGGCTTTCCAGGGGTCTCTGCAAACAAGAGGCCCCCCAGGACCCTGCAGGAACCACACTGCTAGGGAGACGACAGCCAGGGCCATGGAGGGCAGATGCCAGGAGAAGGCAGTCCTCGCCGGTGGCTCTGGGCCTGTGTCACTGTTGAGGTCAGATCCCCATAAGCAGGCTGCTCTGGCTTTTCCCCTCCAGTGGGGCTTAGAGAGGTAGAGCCACCCGTCTGCCGCGGGGTCCCCCCGACCAGGTCTGGGAAAGAGCTGGCACCTGGGTGGGGGCGGGGCGGGACCCTTCCCAGGGCCCCCCTAGGATGCCTGGCCTCAGGGAGGGGGGCTCTGGGAGGCTGCCTTGCACCTGCCCGGAGCCTGGCCCCTTGGGGCCTTCCTCCATCCCCACACCTTGGGGCAGCCTGCGCACCCAGTCTGCACCCTTTGGAGTGCCAGCCCCTCTGTGGTTGCAGGCAGGCCGATTCTCCCTCTTCCAGGGAGACCTGCCCACCAGGGCCAAGAGGGACACAGTGTGGAGTGTGGGCTGGGCCTACCCCTGCTGGGGCTTCAGCCTCCTTTGGGTGGGCACAGAGCTATCAGCAGCACCCCAGTCCCAGGGAAGCAAGCTTGGCAACCCTGGGAGGGTCCTGGGTCTCACCCTGATGAGCTGGGCCTGGGGTCTCACCCTGGAAGCGAGCAGAGAGAACACAGTACAGCCACAGTACAGCCGGCCTCCCTCCCCCCTGGCCTGCATTGACCCTGCCCGGGTGCCCTGGGGCCCCCTCCGTCTGGGGCGACACCCAGCCTGACACTCCGCAGTCCCACTCAGCCTGCCTTCCCACCTGTCCCCTGGGGATGGCGGCAGGGTCCCCACCTCATTCCTCTCCAGGGTCCTCCATGCGTCACTCCCTGCTCACAGCCTCAGTTTAGGCATCTGCAGTGGCTCTTCCCAAGACTGAGCTCTGCTCCCAGGCCCAGCCGGTCAGTGCCGCCCTTGCTGGGCCCATGAGATGGGGAGAGGCGGGGAGAGCAGGCTTTGCTCCCTGGTCCTCACACGTGGTGGCCTTTAGCTCTAAGCCCCGTGCCCCCTTCTGCCTGGCCACAGGCCCTGGAGGGAGAGAGGGAGCTGGGAAAGCCTCGGGGAGGGACCTCAGGCCTGGAGCCTGGTGCTCCGGACACCCCTGCCCTCCCAGGCCAGCCCCAGGCCACTCCCTGCTCCCCCTGCTCCCTCTGCGTGTCCCCCTCCTCCACAACCTCCCAGAATGTCAACCCGGTGGGCCCTCTTCCCCTAGCGGCCGCTCCCCGGCCTTGACCACGCTGAGCACCTGGCCGTGGCTCCCCCTCTCCCCCTCTCCCCAGCCTGCAAAGCCCTGCTCATCTTTCAGTCCCAGGTTCAGGGTCACCTCCTCGGTTTCCCTGGGCAGTGGGGTCCGGGCTTGCCAAGTGGGATGTCTACTTGGCCCCTGGGCCATGGAGGAAAGGGGTCCCTCCCCCATGCCCTGCAGGGCACAGACACCCAGAAAGGGGCAACTGGGGGAAGGATGGGGTGGGGACAGGTTCCCAAGGCAGCTGGGAATGGCGGCAGGGTGGAGAACCCCCGCCCTGGACCCCAGGGGTGGGAGAGCCTGTGCATAGCACACAGGGCAGATGTAGGAACAGCGAGCACGGGGCCAGCCCTGGCCACAGCAATGCAGGATCCAACAGGCAGGACAGACCAGAGTGGTGAGACTGTGACCTCCAACCCCAAGTCTGGCCAGGCAGGCTAGACAGAGATGGAGAAGAGCCACAGCGCCAGGGCCAGGAGGCTGACCACGGAGCACATCACCCACCCACCACCCCCCTGCTGGCTCTGCTGCCTCCGTGCTCCGGGCTCTCCCCTCCCTGCTGCACCCCCAGCTGCCTGCCTGCAAGGATGGGTGGCAGTTGGAGCCCTGGCAGCACTGTGCCTGCAGACCCCTCCCCAGACTGCCTGCATAAGGGTCCCCCATTAGGCATGGGTGCTGCTTCACTGCAGGCCCCAGGGAGGCTGGGCATGGGAGGGGACTGGAGACCTTGGTGGACTGCAGCGTGCACCCTGGATCCAGGTTAGGGGGCCAGACCAGCTCCCCAGGTCTCCTGGCCAACTCCCACCTCCAGGCACTTGTGGCCAATGGGTCCCCTGTGGGCCTAAAGGAAAAGCTTCCCCATGGCGGGCCTGCCCAGAGTAGCCGTCTTCCCTTTGGCCAGTGCTCCCAACCAAGCCCCCAAGCTCTCCCCGTAACTCTAAGCCTACCTGTAGGTGCCCAGGGACAGGTGAGCACCGGCAAGCTGCCTGCAGGGACACAGTTGAAACAGGACTGAGGCCACATGGGCAGTGGGGGAAGGAGGGCCTGCTGGGGGGCCGCCAGACCAGAACTGGCACCATCGGACACTCGGTGGGGACTGGGTGCTGCAGAGGAGGGGGCCAGAGTCTTGACTCGGGGGCAGTAGGCAGTGGACACACCCAACAGGGGCATCCCCTGAATTCGGGGACCCCCACTCAGAAAAGGGAGCCAAGAGTCTGCCCTGACCTGTGGGGTCTGCCCATGAACCAGTGGGGCAAGGCCTTGCAGTGGCGCCTAATGCTGGGGGAAAGGGGTGGTGCAGAGCCCCTCAGGCTGAACTCTGGCCACGCAGGCAGCCAGAACAGATGCAGGAAATAACCTAATCGCATATGCGCGGGAACAGCAAATCCCTTTCAGCTGCAGGTGGGCTGAGCCAGCGGCCATGGGTGGGGGCCAGCGTCCTGACAGCTCTGCTGAGCGTGCTAAGGGGTCTGGGTTGCTGGCTCTGGGGCCTTTCCTGGGTCAGAAACCCCCACCCCACCCCAGGAGAGCCGCCCCCTCTCAGTTCCCAGAACGGAGCCCAGCTGTGCAAGTGTGGGGTGAGGTCACAGGATGAGCCGCATTAGTCATATCCTGGCGCAGGCTGCAGGGAGGAGGAAGGGGCTGTGCGGCTCCTGTCCTTCAGCAGCGGGGGCTCCAAGTGCAGGGCTTTGAAGAGACACCAGGAAACCCCTACCCTGTTCCCCAACTCTGTTCAAGAGGCTTGGGGGCCACACGCATATGGCAGGGAGCAGGGGGGTGACCCCCAGAGGGCCGGCTCCTCAGGATGACGTTCTCAGAAAGCAGACCTTGGCCTCGGTTGTAGGGCAATGGCAGGAAATGGGTCAGGGTGCTGGGGCACCCCCGGGTCCTGTGGGGCTGGCCCTGCCATTCTACTCACCGTATTCCCATATCTGCCTCTGCACACGGGAGTGGGCATCAACGTGTGCACACTGTGTGGGGCTTTGGGCTTATGTGCACAGTGGGTGTGTGTGCCTACATGGGCCTGCGTGTGGGGCTCATGGAGAAAGTATGTGAACGTCTGCATCTGTGTGCATGTATGGGTTTGTGCATGAGGCCGGGTACAGGAGCCGGGTACGGCCTGGACATATGGCTGTGTGGGTAGACTCGGAGTCGGCACACATCTATTTGGAGTGAGTGACCAGCATGGTCTCTGCCCTCGGTTCTGTTGGCGGAGGGCCCTGGGCCTGGGAGCAGCAGGGACAGCCCTGTCAGAGAAGCTGCATGAGAGCCAGAGGAGGGGCTGGGGCTTAGTCCTGGCCCGCAAGGGCCCCACACAGTCCACCAGGGCACGCACGGCCCACCAGGGCTTGTGCACACGGCCCCATACACATGTAGCCACAGACACACATGGATCAAAACACCTCACACGCCCGACACAAACACGTCCATGGGCCTGGGCAGCGTGGATGTGAGGGGAGCAAAACAGCCAGGCTCACCCACCCAGGAATCCCTTGTAGGGAAGAAGCCCCCCAGGAGAAAGCTGTGGGCTGTGGGCGCCTCCTCTCCACTCTCAGCCTGGGGCCCAGTCTGCTCCCACTCTGCTCCCAGCCTCCATCTGATGGGGCTGCTGGTCCCCAAACTGAGGTCCCCGGCCACAGGCTCCACCTCCCTGACAGAACGTGGTCCCCGGACCCCAGCCCAGGGCCTGGATAGGCATCTGCCCATGGCATGATGGGAGCCAGCTGTGGGATATTAGGTTGCTCTCTGGGGCCGTGGGTGTAGGCAGACCAGGGTGCAGAGGTCTGAACAGGCCGTGTGGTTTGCATGCCAGAGGCCCCTGTGGCCACGGGGTCTGTGGGCTTTGAGCTGGGGCTGTGGAGGGGCCTGGCTTTTGTCTGAGAAGCTCCGAGGAGGCCGAGGAGAAGTCAGATCATGCCCTGGCAAGGCTGCCAACACGCAGACGGCCCAGCCGGGCCCAAACTGGAGGCCCCAAAGGAGCGGGCCACAGGGTCAGGCAGTGGACACCACAGCTCAGGGCTGAGACCCCAGGCTGGGGCAGTAAGCCCTGTAGGAGCAGAGATCCGGGGCTCCCCTTGGGCTCCAGGGGAGCTGGGGAGGCAGAGCCATGCTGGCGGCCCAGGGCATGTGGTGCCTGTTGGAGGGCACCAATGGTCTGAGACCTGCTGGGCCTCACCAGGGCCAGGGTGGCCAGGCTCTGTACCCCTGGCCCTTGGCCACCTTGTACAGTCGTGAGCGAGGGACCCTGAGAAGCCATGGGCATCGGTGTGTGCTGAGGGAGGAGACTCCCCGGTGTCCGGCTCTGCTCTGGGCCTCAGTTCCTGTCTTTGAAAGAGCCCAGAGGCCCCACAGAGGGCTCTGAGTAGGGTAGTGGTGGTGCTGGGCGAGCTGACCCTGTAGGGCTCCTCAGCTGTGGCATCAAACCCACGCTGGGGGTGGCCCTTTCTCTGGGCCCCGGGCCCTCTAGCAGGGCCACCTTCTCCACCATGCTGTGCTCCTGGGGAGCAGGAAGGGGCACCCACTGGGGTGGTCAGGGTGAACGGCGGCTGCCTTGCTGGGTCTGCCCCTGGCCTGGCCGGGTCATGCCCAACTGGCTGAGGCTGGGGTCACCTGAGGCAGGTGGGCCTCGCGGTGCCAGCTGGTCATAGCCACCTGGAACAACCTTTTCCCATGCCCTCCGGGGCTGGGAAGTCCTGGCTCTAGGACCAGGGAGCCAGGCTGGTGGGAGGGGATGGAAGGGAGGGTCTTACCGTGCCCTCTGGATCCTCCAGGCCTGCTGGACATGGGATCCCCTCCTTCACCAGGGGGCACATGGATGTCCAGATGCCTACAGAGCCCTGAGACATCCCCCTGGGCCCAAGGGCACCTTCACGACCTCTGCTTCAAATATGAGGAAACGGAGGCCCAGAGGGGGCAGGGCCTATCCGGGTCTCCTGCACTGGGCCCCAGCAAGGCCACCTGGGCGGGAGAAGCAGGGTGCAGGCCACGGTGGGACTCTCTGCTCACCCCCAGGCTCGCCACGCAGCGGAGTGTGGAAGACGAGGAGGAGGCCACCCAGGGGCAGCACCGGCAGGAGAGAGACCAGCAGCTTCGGGCCCGGGACGAGGATGAGGACGTGGAGGGAGGCCACTCCCCGGAGGAGCCGGAGCAGAAGCTGTGAGCCGCTCCTGGGCGGAGGGGAGGGCTGGTGGTCTGGCCCTGGGCTGGGGGTCCCAGAGCAGGTGAAACCAAGGAGAGGTCCGGTGGAAGGTGGGGCCAGAGTGGGGTGTCCTCAGGGTGAGGGTCGCCGCGGCCCTGGGCTGACGGAGTCTGCCGGACGCCTGGCAGGGGGCTCGTGCGGCCGCACCCTCTTGTCCCCCAGCTGGCCCCTCGGGGCTCTGACTCAGGCTCTGGCTGCCCTGCGTGGCCCCGGCCCCTGCTTGGACCACTCTGACCCCAGCTGTGCGGCCCCGGCCCTGAGCCCCCCGCCCGAGCTCCCTGCTGCTGGTGACTCACAGAGGACGCGTCCAACTTGGCGGCCTGCAGGCCTGCTCGCTTCCTCCCTGGGCCCAGGAGGCCACTCCGGCCAGGCTGACTGCTCTTCCCATGCTGCTCCCTTCCTCCCAGGCCTGTTTTGTTCCATTCCCTCCGTGTCGGCGCTCTGGAGGGTGGAGGCGGCAGTCACGGCCCCTCAGACCAGGTCCTCAGCCTCGGTGACCGGGGCCTGGGGGACAGGCCAGGAGCCCAGCAGCGCCAGGATCGCAGGCCTGCAGTGGGGGCAGCTGCAGGGGGTCACACTGCTGCCCAGGAGGGGGCCAGGGGCTCAGCCAGGACAGTGAGGGAGTCTTATCACCACACCCCGGGACCCCAGGTTGATGGTGGAGGCACAGCCCAGCTCTTGGGGGTCCTGGCCTGCTGGGAGAGGCACACCCCAGTTCTGAGCGAGCCCTGGACTGATGTGAGAGGGGCAATCCTGCTCTTGGGGAGCTCTAGACTGATGGGGGGCACAGACCCACCCTTCTGAGTCCTCGACCACGGAGGAGGTACAGTCCAGCTCTTGGGGGCCCTAGACAGATGGGGAGGCCCAGCTCAGGCCTGATAGAGCCCTGGACCCACTGGGGATGTAGCCCTGTTCTTGGGGAGCCCTGGCTTGGTGGGTTGAGACACAACCTAGTGGCAGGCAGTTCCGGACTATCGGGAAGACCCAATTCTGCCCTCAGAGACTCCCCGACAGTGTGGGGACTCAGCCTCCCCGTGGGGTGCTGCCTCTGGCAGATACGACTCCCACACCTGGAGTCCAGGGTCTGAGACGGGGCAGAGGTCTGGATGACAGCGCCGCCCCCCACACTGGACAGTCAGGCCCCTCTGAGCGCCCCATGCTGCTCTTTCAGCCTCAGCCTCAAGCCCGTGGAAGCCCCTGAAGTGGACGAGGACGAGGGTTTCAGCGACTGGTCCCAGAGGCCAGAGCAGCGGCATCATGGGGCTGGGGAGACCTCGGACAGAGGGGAGCCCCCTCAGGAGCAGCAGGAGGACAGGCAAGTGGGGGCCAGAGCCTGGAGGGGGGGCCGCCAAGCAGGGGGCTTCCCCAAGCTCCCAGCCTGTGCCTGCACCAGGCCCTCCACTCCCCTTCCCAGCCAGCCCCCCAAAGCACCCCCCTGGTTATGAGAGAGAGAAGGAAGGAAGCGATGCAGCCAGGCGGCCAGAGTGGGTGGGGAGGACACCTCCCCAGGGACCCCGGGCTCCACCCCGACTCGCTGCAGCCTGGGCTGCGCGTTGCCACATCTGCACACATCTGCAGCCGCCCTTCCTGCCTCGGGGCTGGCTGATCTCCGTTCCCACGGAGGGGAGCAGGTATTTCCAGGTGTGCGCGCTGTGAGCTGGCCGTGGGGGACAAGTTTTCCAGATGTGCAGACGTGTTTGCTGTTCTGAACCCAAAGTGCCCCTGGGCCCAGAGATGGGGACCTGCTCACCCCAGTTCAGGGGTCTGAGCTGCTCTCAGTCCCCTGCGGGCCATGCTCAAGGTACCCCACTGTGGTCAGCGTCCAGCTCTGCTCAGGAACTCCAAGCTTAGGGGACAGGGTCCCCTGTGGCCTTGAGTCTCCTCTGTCTGGGCCACCTCCTGGTCCCTTCAGGGCCCCTAAGCAGCCGTGAGCTCTAGCTGAGACTCCCCCTGTCCCTCTCCCTCAACCACCTATTTTCCATCCTAGAAGCAGGTTCCCACCCCCAGGCCAACTGCCTAACTGGGGCCCTAGCCCTGGCTTGGCCCTCGGCCCGCCGCTCTCCCTTCAGGCCTCCATTTCCCCCACCCACTTTCGGGAGTCGGCGGGCACTCCTCGTTTCTGGGAGGAGGCTGGGGTCAGCAGGGGTGGCGTGTCCACTGGCGTTGGGGTCGAACAGCCATGTGCTGCGCCTCTCCCACCAGCCGCAGGCCATGGCCGCTGTCGACAGCAGGGGGCGCTTTGGCCCTTCGCTGGACCCTCCTGCCCGGCGGCCTCCTCCCCACCCCCACGCCTGCCGGGCCCTGTAAGCCTCGGCTGAATGGGGCCTCTGTGAGCCGGCTGTTGGCTCAGACCCAACCCACCTTGGGCAATGGGTCTGGGTCTTGGCTGACATGAACACAGAGGGGCCTGGAATCATGGAAAGTGCAGAATTTCCCATCTCCTCCAGGACCAGTCCCGTTCACACGCAGGGCCCCACTGCAACCAGAAGGCGGCCCCTCTGCTCAGGGGTGTGGTCCTTGCTGGGACCCCTGCCCTGCCCTGTCCTTCAGCTGACTATGCCCTGAACCACCCACAGCCACCAGCCTCAGCCTGTCCTTCAGGCCCTCTGGTGCCCACACAAAGTGGCAGGAGCAGGCTGGCTGAGTGGACACAGACAAGCAGGGTGCTGGGCTGGGGCTTGTCCAGAGAGCCTGCAAACTAGGCCTGAGCTCCCTGCAAGGGTGCCCTCTGTCAAGAGAGGCAGGCCAAGGGATGATGGGGCAGTGGGCACCCTTCACCAGAGGCCCCAGGGACAGGGCCAGCTCTGAGATCCTTGGGCCCACTCTCCCAGAGAGGCTGGGGTCTCAGGATTCCTTGGCGCTCAGCTGGTGACCACTTTAGTCTTACAGATGGAGAGACTGAGGCTTGGGAGGGCCTGGAGCCAGGCAGTGACCCTCAACCCATTGCCTTCCTCCTCCTCCCCACAGGGCCTCCCTGCTTGCCTGTGGGGGCCAGGATGACAGTGAGCAGGGCCCAGCTGGAGTCTGCCTGGAGGAGCTGCATTTGAGTCCTGGCTCAGAGCCCGAGGAGGGGCAGGGGACAGGAGGGCCGGAGCCCGAGGGCCCAGAGGGGGCTGTGCAGGGCAGCGCAGTGTCGACAGAGGCTGAGGAGGCAGACAAACAGGTGAGGAGGCTTCCCTGGGGTCCAGGCACACTCTGATTCCCGCACTGGGTCCGTCTCTGCCTGCAGGTCTGGGTGCCTTGGGGTCTGGCCCAGAGAAAGTAACCCCCATCACCTCAGACTGGTCCCCACAGCCTCAGAGGGGTGGTGACTCTGCACGATTGAGGGGCTCTGCCCTGTGCTCATCAGTCCCTGCTGAAGAGCATTTCAGAACCAGAGCATGTCGTGGTGGGGAGGCGGGGTGGGGGGAAGGAAGGTCCTAAGGTGCAGGGATGGGAAGCGTTTGCTCCAACAGGCCCCAGGTGGGGCAGGAGGGACAGAAAGGGAGAGTGTGCCATGACCTCCATGCCCTCTTCCAGCCCCAGGACGGTCAGCAGCCCAGGATGCCCAGCCCTCTGGTCTTAGAGGGCACTGCCGGAGAGGGCTCACCTCCCCTGAGCCCCAGCACCACGGTAGGTCAAGCCCAGAGCCACCTTTCCTCTCCCCCGGAATCAAGGCCTAGTGACAGCCCCCAAGAGGCTACCACGTGTCAGCTCCAGGAATAGAAGCAGGTCCTGCCCTTTCTCTGCTGTTCCCCCAGCCCAGCATGCAGCAAATCCTTGAGAATGAATGCATGGGCAGCTGGACTGGGGACGGGGGCAGCTGGGGGGCCTGAGCGTGGGCCTTGCTCTGGCCTCGCACGCTCACGTCCCTGCCCATTCTCTACAGCTCATCGATAGAACAGAGTCCCTGAACCACTCCCTCAAGAAGAGGTATGTCTGACTGCTTTCCAAGCTGGCACCAGGGTTCTCCAAGAGAGGCTGAGGAGAGAGGGGCACGGGGGGGAGGTCCTGGGGCTGGAGAGAGCTCGGGTGGGGCTGAGAGGAGCCCGGAAGCCAGAGGAGGGCCGTGGGGCGTGACGCTTCTTCTGTCTCCAGCAACAGCGTGAAAAAATCCCAGCCCACCCCGCCCATCTCCAAGATCGATGAGCGGCTGGAGCAGTACACCCAGGCCATTGAGGTACGCTCAGGCCCTCGCCTGGTGCCGGTGCCCACACGCCTGCTCCCCATGCAGCCCGTGCTGCTCCATCCAGCCAACATGCATCCATCCAAACAACGCCGCCCATCAAAACAAACCCTTCCATGTGACCAACACTCCTGGACCCACCACCACCACTACATCCAAACAACAGCCCTACAACCAAGTCCCTCCCTCCAACCTGCACCTCTCCTTCCAACCAACACCGCACCCTCCAACCTACACTCCCGTCCCACCAACATCCCCATCCCACCAGCACTCTGTCCGGCCAACAGTTCTCCCTCCACCCAATGCACGTCCATTCAGCCCATGGTCCTCCAGCCCTATTCCATGAACAGCATGATGCCAGCCTCCTTCTGTCGCATGTCCCACCATGTCACCTTGCTGTCCTAAGGGAGTATTCCACACAGAACAGAGGAACACACATCTTTCTGAGCGCCTTGCCCAAGCCCTACACTGGAAAACACTCCTGGGGAACTAGAAGGGCAGAGAGGCCATGATTCGTGTGCGAGAGGGGTTCACACGGGCCTCTCTGATGCGTCCCGTGCGGGTGCACAGCAAAGCATCCCGGGCCCCATCTCCTCTGCAGACTGCCGGCCGGCCCCCCAGGCTAGTCCGCCAGCCCTCCGTCGAGCTGCCCAGCATGGCCGTGGCAAGCACCAAGAGCCGCTGGGAGACGGGAGAGGTGCAGGCTCAGTCTGCTGCCAAGGGCCCCTCCTGCAAGGTAGGACCCCCTTCAGGGTCACGGCTGGGCTCCTTTGGTAAGGCGGGGGTGAGGTTGTCCAGGCTGCAGGCAGGGCACCGTGGGTGGACGAGCCCTGGCGCATCCTTGGGGCTGGGGGTCCCCAGACTGGGCTTGGCAGAAGCTGTGTGGAGAGGGCCGTTTGGCCTGTGAGGGCGGACGGAGCCACCTTCCCTTCCTTCCTCCACCCTGGGGCTCTCAGACACGGAGGCAGGAGTGCAGGGCCTGCAGGCAGGAGACAAGAGCCTAGAGCTTCAAGCTCCCCCAGGCCAGGGGTCTGTCTACACCTGTGGCCTGTCCTCTCTCTGTCCCCAGGATATCGTAGCTGGGGACATGAGCAAGAAAAGCCTCTGGGAGCAGAAAGGAGGCCCCAAGATTTCATCAACAGTCAAGGTAGAATCTAAATGTGCTGTTGCGGGGAGGGCAGATCCAGCAGGTGCGGGCAAAGGGGGCTGTCCTCAGTGCATCGGGGAGGGCTTCCTGGAGGCAGCAGCATCTGCCTTCTGCTGCTCTCACCTTTGCTCTTGGTCTCCTTCCCCCACAGAGCACCCCCTCTGGGAAGAGGTACAAGTTTGTGGCCACTGGGCACGGGAAGTACGAGAAGGTGCCCGTGGACGACGGCTCGGCCCCCTAGGCTGCGCCTCTTGGTGAGTCCAGGGCAGAGGCCAGAACATGACACGTCGTGTGTGCAACGTGCCATTCTGGGAACATGGCAGCATGGACAGAGCCTGCTTGTCCATGTTGCCAGTTGCAAGGGCCCAATGCCCAGCCTCAGAGCTGGCCAGACACCAGACTGCCCATCTCCCAGCTCCCTGCAGATCCGTGCCTCACCCCCATCCCATCCTATACCACACTCAGAGAGGGGACAAGTTGTCATTCTCTGAGAGGAGGTCACAACACGCAAATGCGGGCTGGGGGGCAGCAGTGAGCTGAGGGTGTGAAGGGGCCAGAACCCAGGTCGCACCCTGCTGTTCCCCCGGGGCCACTCTGGTCTCCACCACTTTCCCCATCGCTGCTGAAGAGCCAGCAAGGTGACACGTGCTGTGGTCCGACACACTTTTATTGGTGGCCTGGGTCTCAAGATCCATTCACAGCACCCAAGACATCCTAGGGTGGGGCAGCTGGCCCCTTGCCAACTGCTTCTTTGCTCCTGAGCCCTGTTCCCCCAGCTGTGGCTGGACATTTCCGCAGGGACCTCTGTGCCCTTCCCCCAGCGCTGTGGGCTCCCTCAGAGCCCAGCTGCTTGCAGACGGAGCCCCAGAGCTGCATGCAGCCTGGGGTCCCCTTCACTGTCTTTAGCCCCTTGCACACTCAGCCGGGCTGTTCTCCCAGCCCCAGGACTGAGGACGCCCCTCCTTGCCCAGCGTCAGTCTGGCAGTCCCCTGAGGAGGGGGCCACAGAGCCTGGACCCAGGGCCCGCCTGCCCCACCAAGCCTCAGGGCTCCCCACCCCGAGGCCCCAGGGGCTACGCCTGGCCCACCCTCCCCGCCGCCGCCCCTTGGGAGCTCCAGGCTTCCTCAGAGCCCTGGGCAGGCCCTCCCTGCAGCATGCAGGCTGCAGCCAGGCCCTCCCTGTACCTCCCTGCCCCGAGCCCATGCAAGGACCTAGGCTGGCGCTGCCACTCGCAGTCAGCCAGTCCAATCCCCTGCCTCACAGTGGCCTTCTGTACTTTCCATCTCACCAAGTTTCCCCCCATAAGCCCCCTGCTCTACCTGTCATAGACCCCTCCACACCACTGAAGCCCACCGCCTCCTTAACCCCACTTGCTCCCGGCCTCATCCCACTTCCCACCGTGGTCCTTCATGCTCTCATCCACCCAACCTGCCCCTCCTGACCACCCAGCCACCCCCAGGCTCCCCTTGGCACCTGTCTGGCCCTGATGCACTCTTCCATGGCTGCAGCTTCCCAGCTGGACCCCCACCCCTCTTCTGTCCAGCCCACAGTCCTGGGCCCTGGGGCCACCCTGGCCATTCATTCACCCTGGCCTCCAGCCAACCGCCGTCCTGTTGAAGTTCTTGGGCTGGGGGCTCAGCTCCAGGACGGAGGGGATCACGAGAGGGGTCCGGGCAGCCACCTCCTGCAGCTTCCGGGCGTTGAAGCGAGGTCGGCACAGGAAGGGCAGGCGGCCGAGGCCAGCCAGGGTGGGCACCCTGTCCCGGGGCCCTGCTGGGCTGCCCCGAGCCTTGGCCACCGACATGCGGTACAGCACCGCGTCCCACATCGTAGAGGCCCGGGAGGCAGGGGGCGGTGGCAGTGGGCTGGTGTGGCCTGTCTCTTTATGACCTGTACGCTCCGGGCTATGTTCTGGCCCCAGGACTGGGGCCTCCTCCACTGGCTCCATCAGCTGGTTCCTCAGGCGAGCCCAGCCACTGAGCCAGGGCTTGGGTGCGGCTCTGAGCACAGGACACGGGTCAGAGCCCGAGGCGGGTGCTGGGGACCAGGCCCTGCATGGGCTGGAGACCTGCTCAACCTTAGCCACAGCGCCAACTGTGGAAGGGTGTTCCATCTGCTCAGCTTCATGGGCTGCAGAGGGCAGCCCATAAGGCGAGGGTCCCGGCGAGCAGTAGGTAGGGGCTATGGGCACCACAACCTGGGTGCTGGCCTCCCTGGGCACCGAGGCCTGCAAGCTGGGGGGGGTCCCGGACACAGGGGGTGACTCAGGCCAAGAGCTGGTGGCTTGGGTCCCAGCAGGCAGTGGGTGGATATGGGCCACTGGGATCAGGGACTGGGCCCCAGGAGGGCATGGGGCTGTGTCTCTGTCCTGGTCACCAGGCCCATCCTCTGTGGCCATCTGGTGGGGCTCAAGGGTCCCAGACGGTGGGGACGGCACCACCTGGATGTGTACCTGGCTGATGTGGGCGCCCTCCACTGCAGGGGCCAAGACTGTGCTGGGGGACTGGGTGTGTTCTGGGGTTGGGGCTGCGAGCTGGGGCGCCATGGCCTTGAAGTGAGCAGCCAGGGTCCTGCGCTGGGTAAGGCTGAAGGAGAACGTGGATTTCTGCAGGGGTGAGGCCACGTGGTGGATGACAGGGGGGTGGGGGGAGCGGGGCAGCGAGGACCGCACGGGCGGGGCCTCGGCAGGGCGCGGGGCTGTGGTCTCCTGGTCATGGCTGGCCTCGCTCACGGGTGACAGGGAGGCCCGGAAAGCCCCTTGTGGGGTGGGAGGCCCGCCCTTGGTCATCTTCCTCCGGGCCGCCTTCCTCAGGAGTCTCTGCAGTTGCAGGTCATCTTTCCCTGGCTTGGGTAACAGGGGTGGTGGGGGGCCAGGTGGCCTCTGGGGGCCCCGGCCAGCCTCAATGAGCATCGCTGCCACCTGAGGCAGGGAGGGACCACCATCAGCCCGGCCGTCAGCCCTCCTTCCCCTTGGCCCCCCTCACCAGAGGCCCAAGTCCTTGCTGGGTGATGGACAAGGGCTGGAACCTGGCTCTGGGCACCACTGTGTGCACAGTCTGGGCTGGGAGAGCTGCGGCGAACTCCAAGGGGGAAGCACGTGCTGGGCTGGCCACCCTCCGCGGCAGGAAGCGCCCGACCCGCAAGTGTGGGAGGGGTGCCATGCCATGCCAGCCTGAGCACAGGTGCCCCCATTGCAAGCCAGCTGTGAGGAGGGTGGCTGGAGGCTCAGGAAGCTGGGCTGCGTCACCAGATGTAGATTGGCTGCGAGGCGGGGGCAACTTTTGCTGAGCTGAGCTGAATGGGATATTCCCGCAGACACCCTGGTTAGGGTGATCTCAGCCAAGCCATCCATCCTGCTTTCTGGGTGCCACATGCTTGCAAGGATGCTTACAAATGGCATCCGGACTAAGCCAGAGGCCAGCCAGTTTAAGGGAGGAAGGAGACCTGGGGGCTGCCTCCCGTGGGGGCTGCCTCAGTCAGACAGGAGCAGATTTGCCCCGGAGGGACCTCCCTGGGCTTGCTCTTGGCTGCTGCCTGCCTCTGGGAGACCAGGACCTCAAGAACCACAGGACCCTGCATCCGGCTCCTGGGGGCTGCCAGGCAAGTGGGTGAGCAGGCGGTGGGCAGCATCCCTCCACTTCTTGCCCCAAGCAGGGCCCTGGGCACTGGAGCTCCGCATCAGGAGCAGGCTCCCCAGGTGCAGGCAGACACTGGGCTGTGCGGCTGGAGCAGGGGCCTGCTCCCCGTGTTGGGTGAGGGCCTGTGGGCAGGCCCAGGAGGCTGCAGGGGAAGGCGCGAAGGGGCAGGGCTGCGGCCCCTCAGACAGAGCCTGACGTTCCCCCGACGCCTGTGTTTCAGCTCTCCCAAAGCTGCAGGCATGCAGGCTGGTGACCCCCTCCACGCGCCCCACCCACACTCCCAGGGGAGAGTCCGCCCGCCAGATGCCCTGGCCCGGCCACCCGGCCCACCTGGCTGTCCTCCACCACTCGCCACCACCACTGTCTCCTTGCTCCTGGACCCTCTTCCCCCATCCTGCTCTCTGATCCCTGCCCTGCCAGGAAAGGGACTCCTGCTGACAGTGGCTGAAGGGACCACTCCCAGAGCGGCCAAGACCTCCCAAGGAAGGCAGACACAGGGCACCTGAGGGATCCCCCAGGTCAAGAGCCATGGACGCCTGCCCTGGACGCCCAGCCCTGCACCCCCCCTGCTCACGCTTGCCACCCCTCCGTTCTGTACAATAAAGCTCCCTGTGTGCCCCCGTGTGCTGGCCCTCCGGTGCTCACCAACTGGAAGAAAAACAAGGAGCAGGGCCAGCCTGGGTGGAAAAGGCCACACTGTCCTGTCCTGTGCTGGCCTTCCTCAGTGTTACACGTTGGGGCCTGAGGGGTGTGGTGGCCTAAGTAAGGGCACATGTGGTGGGCGGGTTCTGTCCTCTTCCTGAATATCTGGGATGCTTCCCCCTTGACTGGCCCTGTGTAGACTTTTCAGCACCTGAAAAAGTGTGCAAATCTGGGCTGTGCCCCTAGACTGTGCACTCCCTGGGGACAAGACCCACCTTGGGGTCATCTGCTATACCAGCACCCAGGAGGTACTCAGTGAAAGGGATGGTGGATGGACAGATGGGTAGATGATAGGAGGTGGGTGGGTGAGTGGGTGGATGGATGAATAGATGGGTGGATGGGTGGGTGATGGAGGGAGGGAGGGAAGAAGTGAGTGTGAGATGGATGTGTGACTGGGTAGGTGGGTGAATAGACAAGTGTGTGATATGGGAGACAGGGTGGGGGTGTCCTCCTGAGCCCTCTCCCCTCCCCGAGCCCACACTCAGGTCTGACATTGAGGTTTTCTGCCTTTGGCATTCAGAGAGGCCCTTCAAAAAGCAGGCTCCAGGGGCTCTAGCCTCGTTTGCTCAAGTCCTTGCTGTCAAAATCTACCTTCCTCCAGAAGGAGAGAGAATGTAGAATATGGGCAGCTGAGGAGTGCTGGAACTCAGCAAAGCCAGCAGTCACCTCTTCCCACCCCTAGCAGTCCTCTGAGACAGTGCCCAGGGCCAGGCTCTGCCACTGGGGAGTATCTCCCAGGGGACATGGCGCTCTCTGCCTTCCCACCCAGCTGGACGTGATACTAGCGGTGGGCAGTAGGCAGAGGCTGCCCAAGGCCCACGGCTGGCAGAGAGCTGGGACTGAAAGATGAGAGACAGGTGGGGGACCCAAGCTGGGGAGGCAGCCAGCCTCACTGCCCCGACCCACGGTGCCCCGCCTGGCCTCAGGGGTGAGGACCCAGGGTCTGTCTACTCCGGGTGTTGCTGAGGTGTGGTGTCATACCCCCAGGGTCAGAGCCTGCCGACCACACAGGTCCAGAGGCTCAGAGGGGCCACTGCCCAAGGGAATCTGGCTTGTCACTGACTGTCTGCCATCTGTCCTTCCTGCCTGGGAGACCCCCGAGCCCCCAGATGCTCTGCTCCAGGCACAGAAAGCCAGTCCCCCACAGGAGGCAGAATGGACCAGGGACCTACAGCTCACCGAACACCCAGGGTGAGCAAGGCTGGAAAAGGTTGTGTCAGCAGCTTCTATCTGGGGCCTGGCTGAGCCCAAGCCTGCGGGGCTGTGCCTACCGGAGCTCAGGTTGGCACCAACATGGGCACCCAGGTCAGCTCGGGGCTCCCAGGAAAGGGTCAAGTTCCCCTGGGCCCCACCAACCCCAACTATGCCCATGAGGGGCCAGGACCCAGCCTGAGGGGCCCCTGCCCTCCTCACCACCCTGGGGTCATCTGCATAGACAGCCGAAGCCAAGACACTTGGGGTACCCCTCCTCCCACAGCCCCTTCCCTATTCCCTGGCTTGGCCCAGAAAACCCACCCTGCTGAGCCCAGGCCCAGGCCCTGCACAGCACACCTCAAACCATTTCTGGGAGGTTGAGATAGTCCCACCCCCTATCTAGGCTGGGCCAGCCTGGCCCCACCTCCTCCCTAGGTCCCCTGCTGCCCCCCTGCCCTGACCCCTCACCTCCCACCGCAGCCTGGCCAGGCCAGGTGGACCCGGGTGTGGATTACCTGCTGCAGGCCCTCGGCGGGCGGCGGCCCATCCAGCAGGGCCGATTCAGTGTGTCCTGCCGCAGCACAGCCCAGTGCCCCGAGGGGAAGGTCGCTGATACCCAAAATAAAACCCACTCGTTCCCCTGACCTCGGTGCCTGTGCTCTGGCTGGCCCTCTATGGGAGGGCGCCTGCCAGAGGTGGAGGCTGCCGACGGAGCAGCCACCCTCCTCTGCTGGCCGAGCAGGGCCACTGCAGGGCCCGGCATGTCCAGCTGCAGATGCTGCCCCAGGGATGCCCTGGGCCTGGGCAAGGTGCTGCAGGGCACCACAACCTGAGCGGGGCCCCCAGGGCAAGCCCTGGCATGGCTGCAAAAGAGGCCAAATGCTCCTAAAGCTCCTAATGCACTGTCTCCATGTGTGCCCCTGAATGTGTATGTGTGTGTGTGGGGGGGGGTGGTCCTCAGGTCTCTGTCAGCAGAGCAGGAGAAGCCAGCCTGAGAAGAGGAACAGCCCCCGTCCTGAGGGAGGAGCCGGGCAGGGTGGCCCCTGCAGCACTCGGGGCCTTTTTTGGAAGTAGCTCTACAGATAACGCCACTGGACGGAAAGTCAGAGCTGACGGAGAGTCAGGGCCGCATGAAGACTGTCTGAGGACCTGGACAGGTGGAGGGGAGGCATCAGCTGGAGGAATTTGGGGTTCAGACAGAGGGCAAAGATGTCCCAGAGTTCCAGCCTTGGGGGCTTCCCACTGCCAGGGCTCCAGGACGGGTGGGCAGCAGAGGGCCCCGTCCTGGAAGTCCTGGAGGCCAGAGGCCCAAGCTCTGCCTCCCCTGCTGTGTGGCTGTGGTCAGTCTCGGTCCCTGTGGTTTCATCTCCAACTTGTAGGGTCTGGATGAGATGCCAAGAGAAGCCTTCCGGAAGCCTCTGAGACCCAGAGCAGGGCACAGAACCAGAGGGGCTGAGGCTGGGGCGCGCAGTCTCCCGAAGTTCCTCTGGACATCCCGACCCTGAGCCGCTGCAGGGCTGGGGTCTCTCCTGAGCTGCCCCAGGGCTCGCCCTGTGCCAGGCATCCCATTGCTCCACAGGCTGTGCCATCCCTGCTCAGGCGGCTCCTCGCCCTGAGCCTGGGGGTCTGGAGGGAGGTGCCAGGCTGCTCTGGCCTCAGTCGGTGCCTCGGCTTCCCTAATCTGAGGAGCAGGGCCACTGGAGCTCACAGCCTTCCCGGTTAGCATGGGGACCGTCCCAGGCCTGGGCGAGTTGTCTGCCAGTTGGAGAGTGCCACCTGGAGTCCTGAGGAAAAAAAGGCAGTGGGCACACAGTGGTGCCCACTGGGAGTGGCCCACTGGCTGGGTGCCTAATGGGAGCCCCCATGCCACGGCAGAGGTGCAGCCCAGCTCTGCCAGGGAGGTGAGACCCCAGCCGCCAGGCGCGAGCGGCTGTCTCCCTCTCCCACGTCTGTGCACCCCCCGGGGGTGTCCTCCCGCAGAAGCAGGGCTGCTGCTCAGCGGAGCTTGGACGGGACCGAACCAGCTGAAGACTCACAGAGCCTCCCTCCCATGGGCCCCTCTGGGCCTCGGGTGGCACCCTCCGACAGGGGTGGCAGGGTGGGCCTGGGACAGTGTGCAGTGCGACTGGCTTAGCAGACCCCTTTCCTGGGCGAAGTGCATGTCCAGACCGCTCAGCGGCAGGGGAAGCTGCTCTGGAGTTCCCCCATTCCAGCCTGGACCAAGGACAGCCCTCAACTGTGTCCCCAGGGCCATCCAATACTTTCCTTCGCCCCTCCTCAGCCCATCAAGAATGTGCCCACTGTCGGGGGAGTAAAAATAGAAGCTGACGCCTCATTGGGGAGGAGGGTGGACCTTGCCCCCTTCTCCAGACACATGCCCCCATCCTCTCCTCCTTGGGCCTCATCCTCTGCCATTCCTATACTTGGTAAGGGGCCTGCATGGGCACAGCCCTTTCCTGCCTGCCCCACATGCCTGGCCACCCAGCCCCCGGCCAATGGGCTGCTGGGAAAGATCAAATGTCACTATAACATGAGGGTGTGAGGCCGAGGAGGCACTGCCTGAACCCATCCTGTCCACAGGGAGCACCAGCCCTTCTCCGGACTCAGCTGCAGGTTGGTGTGGCCAAGAGCGGCCGGTTCGGTGCTGGGCAGGGCCGCCTGGCATGTGAAGCGCATCCCGGGGTCCCGGGGTGCTGATGGGATGCCATGCTTCTGAGCATCTCAGCTTTGAGCACAGTGACTCAGAGGACCCAGGAAGCCACCCCAGGGTCCCAAGGGTCTGGGGAGCTGGCATTGTGGGAACGATGCCAAAGAATCTGCTCTGAAGCAGAACATGGGGGGCCGGGGAGAAGGAGGAAGGGGGGTTTCCTCTCAGGCCCAGACCAAGGCTGGCAGCTGGGAGGAGGTGGGGATGTCCAGGCGAAGGACAGGATGGGGCACTGCCCAAGCTTCAAGGGCCCCCGATGCCGTGCCCCGGCTGAGCGCCTGGCCCACCTTGGCCTGTCTATGGGGGCTCCGCCATGCTGAGGGGTGCTCTCTGCCCCACGTGGCCATTGCTTCCAATGCTGTCATGTATTTGGACGGAAATGAAGGGGGCTTGTCTAATTCAGCCCAGATCCGTGGCACGGGGTGCTCAGGACCCAAGCAGCCCTAGAGGCAGCACCCAGAGGTCAGAGACAGGAGTCGGCGGGGCTGCAGAGGGGGCAGGGGGGCTGGCCTCCGTCCTGCCCACCCAGAAAGACGTCCCGTGGCAGGAGGAGCACACGCTCCCAAGAGACCCCACCGTGCTCCTCGCCCAGACGCCGTCACTGGAGCAGGGCTCGGCTGCTCCTCCTGACGCCACCCTGGCCCAGCATCCTCACCTGCCAGCTCCTCTTTGGGTGCCCTTGGCCATCCTGGGAGTAGACGGGCAATGGGCCACTGCTGGATGGGACGGGGGTCCAAGTGGGGGCGACATGGGCAGGGACCCACAGCAAGTGAGTGGCAGGGCCTTCTGGCTGCCCACCCCATCTTGTCACCTGGGCAGGAGGGAAAGACGGTGCATGTCCCCAAGGAGGGCTGACCTCAGTGGCTATTTTCACACTTTTCACACCTGCCCCTCTGAGGGCAGAACATTAAATGGACAACAGGTTTCTTTCTCAGCTGTGGGAATGCCAGGCACTGCCCGCACACACACCCTGGCCTGGGCCCCTCCCTGGCAGACAGGGCGCCCCACAGTACCTCCTTCAGGGCCTCACCGGACAGAAGAGCCGGAGCCTGCACGGACCTTGGTTTCCCACTGGGACAGAGGGCCTGTGCAGCCTCCCCACAGGAGGGTCCCCGGGGGCACCCTGCCTGAGGGTGCTACCCTCAGACTGCAGCCCAAAAGATAGGAGGGCAAGTTGGAGGAGCTCAGGGAGACCCCAGAGAGGGGGCAGGGGTGCGGACAGGCTAGACCTGAGGAGGCGGCTGCGCTCGCAGCCCCCCTCCCACCATCTTGGGTTTCTGGGCAGAGATGTCTTGGCTAATTTAGGTGCCTATTTCTGGACACCTCAGCTGCCACCAGCTCCTTAAAAATAACCCACCCTCTGGGCTCGGGCCACGACCGCCCCCTCTCAAGGCACTAACAGGTGTTGGCCTGCCAGGATGAGAGGCAGGCACAGCAGGGCAAGGAATGGCTCCCTCTGGCCCCCCCACCATGCAGATCGTGGCTGGGCAGGCTGCAGGGTGGGGTCAGGCGGCCAGCGGTTGGGCCCACCAGGAGGGCCTGGGCCTAGGGATGGCAAGACCGAGGCTGTGGCTTGAGGGGGCAGCAGAGTCCCAGGAAGAAACTTTTGGATGCAAACGGCTGCAGGGCTTCCTGGAGTGGGTTAGCAGAGACGTGCACTTCAGTTCCACACAGAGCTTAAACTGCTCTGGGAAAATTAACATTCTTGACAGAGGCTTTGGAAAACCGTTCCCACCCACCTAAGCAATGGGACGTAAATGCATTTTTAGATGATGAACTTGTGTTTTTCTTATACAAAGCTCCCTGGGGGCAGCATAACGATTGTGTTCAAGTAGTCTGTAATGTGCTGTCACGAAATTTATTTTCTAACATCCCGGGCCAACATCCTGAGGCAGCCGCTCCGAGCATTCCCAGGCCCTGGGCCGCCTCAGGCGTGTCTGGTGGTCAGCTCACAGAGAGATGGTCCCCAAGTGTGCCGGCCTGGCACCGTTGCACCTGGACACGTGTAGCCAGGTCCGGGCACAGAGCTTCCCCTCAGATGTTGACAAATTCAAGAGCACCCACGGGGCCTGGGAAAGCAGGTTGAGGAGGAGGAAAGGGGGTGCCGGGCTGGGGGACACACAGATTAGCTCAGACCCCCTCCCTGAGAGCTTGGGGCTGTCTGCTGCCTGGTGGGGCAAGGGGGAGGGAAGGAGACAGAACGGTTGATGCACTTTTGTGGTTTTGGAAGCAGGGTCCTCAGGGGGCTGTGGGGGCACCAGGGGTCCCCAGAGCACCCCTGTAAGAGAACACAGGCTCCTTGCAGGAAACCGTCATTCTAGAAGGGAGCTTTGGGCTCACCCCAGAGGGGGCTCTTGTGGGGCTGGCCAGGGTGGAGGGGGACCAGGGAGGGCTAGGCGAGCATTCCTGCGGAGGCTGGGCTCTGTAATCTAGAGGCTGCTCGGCAGCCCCTGTCCAGGCCCAAGGGAAGAGGCCGCCAAGAGGCAGCCTTGCATCGACGTGAGCAGGATCTCCCCACTGTCCCCAGCAGCCTGGACAGGCCTCCCGGCGCTCGTAGCTTCTGGATGACCCTTCTCAGGACACTACTGGGAGGAGGAGGATGTCTGCCCTGGGTGGGGGTGGATGCCACGACCTTCCAAAATCCTGTCCAGCTCTGGGATTCTAAGCTCCGGGCTGGAGCCGGGGCAGGAAGGGGGGCGGGTGGGATCCGAGTTGGGGCATCCAGGAGGCCTGGGGGCGCCTGGAGCCTGGGAGGAAGCAAGGGGGCCTAGGCAGGAGGCCCCAGTGCAGAAGCGTGCCAGCCCAAGGCCGGAGAGGTGGCCTTCAACCCCCTGCACCCCTGCTCCAGCTCCCCTCGTCCAGCCTGTCCAGAACAGGGCAGCTGCTAACTCTTCTTGGTCTCTCCCCAGCCCACTGCAGACACAACCCACCCACCATGTCTGACGAGGAAGCGTGAGTACCTGAGGCCACGCCCCACCCCAGCTCGGGACCCCTGGGCTGGGCCGGTCCTGGAATCCCCTGAGCAGACGCCCCCCTCACCCCTTCTCTCTCCTCTCTCTCTCTCTCTCTCTGTCTCCTGCAGCGAGCAGGTGGAGGGTAAGTGTCAAAGCCATTTGCTGTCTTGCATCTGCCTCTACACAGAAAACACACCTGAGGGGGCCCCACTGTAGACAGCATGTCCCTCCTGGGGGGCCCCTGGCCGGAAGCCGAGCTCGGCCACATTCAGTACTGAGCCTTACATGGACCCTCCTCTGAGAATGGACCCCCCTTCTGCCCCAGCACTGCAGCCTCCTCGTCCTCAAAGGACACGTCCCGGAGATGTGGTCGCATCTAAATGCAGCCTGCACTGCCAGGGTGTCCAGGGCAGCGTGGCAGAGGGAGCCTTGGGGTTCAGCCACTCTCTGCCAGGCCTCCCCAGTAGCACCTGAGCATCTGTGCCAGACGCCCCCCAGGTCGCTGGCATCTGCAGAGCCTCCTCCTCCTCCAGCTTGGGCGGCCTCTTCTGGCCCGAAGATGCCCCTGCCCGCATCTCTGGCTCCCCGGGGATGCGCTGCGCTGGCCCGAGATGGCCCTGCTAACATGGCCCCTCTCTGTTCTATCCCATTGCAGAGCAGTACGAGGAAGAAGGTAACCTCAGCAGCCCTGGGAGCCCCTGCACCTCCACCCCGGCCCCTTGCCCTTCCCCTCGGGCATCCCGGGGCTCAGCAACCAATGCCATCGTCCTCAGCGCTGATCCATCCCCATCCCCGCTGACCTCTCACCTCCTCACAGACACTCACTGACTGCTCATTAATACATCATCCTCATCCATCTGCGGGTGTGGAGTCCGCTGGGTGTGGGCATCAGGGCGCTCAGCTCGTTAACACCAGGCCCAGCATGAGACCTGCCTGCCTTCCTCAGCTCTGAAAATCTCTGTCTCTGTCTCTCTCTTTCCATCTCTCGGCACCCCCTCCACTCAATCACCCTTCGGGTTGACCTGGGGACCCTTCCTCCTGTCACCTTGGCCTGCAGGGCCTCTGGGCTGTGCCCAGGCAGACGAGGCAGGGAGTGGGGCCCCCAGGAGCATGGCGGGAGGCGCTGCTCGGATCCCCTTGGCCAGCACACAGGCTCAGGCATGCTTTCAGGCCACAGCAACAGGCGTGAGGCCTTCTGGGTGCTATGTTTTGAAAATATTTTGAGAACACTTGGCTACCCTAACAGTGAGAGGAAAACATTTCTTCTGCTGCTGGGAAGGGGGAAAGGCCCACTTCTGAGTGGGGAAATGTGGTCCTGGAGAGCCGCCCCTTCCCCAGAGAAAGCGGGAAGGCATCCCCCTGCCCACACTTCCTCCCTGACCCTCACAGCCTCGGGACACCCTCTGTGGCCACCCTGCCCCGGGGCCATTCCTGGGTTTCCTTCTGACACATGGGGTTTGTCCCATCCCCACATCTGCCACCCGCAGAGCAGAATTCAGCTGGACCCTCTGCACAGACACTGAGGCACTGGGGATGGGCCCACCCAGGTCCAGGCCCTGAAGACCGCGCAGGGCTGAGTCCCCCAGACCTGGGGGGTGGCCGCAGGGGCAGGGCTAGGGCTAAGACGCTGCAGCTTGTGGCCTTGAGGGGTGGGCCTCTCCCTGCTCCCAGGGCCCGGCTGCCCTCCCCACTCTGAGCGCCCCTAATGCCTGTCCTTGTCCTCTCCCCCACGCCCTGCTGCTCCCGCCTCAGAAGAGGCCCAAGAGGAAGGTAAGTGGGGTCCAGGACCCCGGCCCCACAGCCACCCTCCAGCCTTCTGCCCCAGTGGCATGCACCCACAGTGCCCCTGGTGTGCCCCCACCCTGCTAAGGACATGCGTGTGCTCCTGACCTCACCTTCTGCCCTCTCCTCCCTACCACTGCACCCCCGGTGCCCCTCTGCTCACAGAAGCCCACGAAGGAGGTATGAGGCCACGGGACTTCTGGTCCCCATGTGGGGCCCGGGGCCTGGCTGGAGACCACACAGGGGTGGGGAGAGGGGAGGGAGGCAGCAGGTGCCAGCCAGCCCAGGGGCTCCCACATGTGGCCCCTGTGTAACCTACTAACCAGTGCTTGACCAGAGCTGTGTCCCCAAGGGCTGGGCACTCGCCCGGAGCTGGGCTGCAGGGGGCAGGCAGCACCAGCACAGGGCCGGTGGGGGCCTGCCAGACCAGGTGTGCACCCAGCTGCCCCAGGGACGGGCCGTGTGGCCTGGCCACACCACCCCAGGGTGGGTCACCGGGAGCCCAGGACAGTGTCTGACCCTTGGCCGGGTCAGAGCCCCAGGGGAAATCTCAGGTGAGGCCAGGGTAGTGGAGGGACAGCCCCTGCAGCCTCCCCTTGGGGTGAGGGCCGCACCCTCAGCAGGGGCCTTTCTCACTCCCTGGCCACCCCCAGCCTGCCCTGGGGGGCCTCGTCAGGTCTGGGTCTGGAGCCTGTGCTCCGAGCAGCCGGGGCGGGCAGCTGCGCCCTGCGTTCCGGGGAAGCTGGGAGAAACGGGGTGGGGAGAGGTGGGCATCCTCCTGGCCTGTCCCTGGGCTGCACGCCTTTCCAGGACTCTGGTCCACCCACATGCCAGTCCCTCCCGCGAAGGGCAGGTGGGGGCCGGGAGGCACCAGAGGAAGGCCCGCCCACCATGTCCCCAGGGCCAGAGCCACAAGTCAGGACCAGGGCAAGAGCCAGGAGAGAGAACCGCAGCCTGTCTGCAGGCAGGTCCGGGCTGGGGGCACAGCCCAGGCCCACACTGACCGTGTCTCGCTCGCTTCCTGCACGCTCCCCACCTCTCGGTCTTGGCCACTGACCCTCCTGAGTGGCAACCGGCTGTCTCCATTAACCTGGGATCCTTTTCCCTTTGACCTCTGACCTGCGTGGCATTGCCTCTTGTCCCACGGCCCTCCTTGCCCATGAAGTTCGTGAACCAGGTATGCGCCATGACTTCAGTCCCGTGAGGGCGCATGGGCACACACGCGGCCCTGCGTGGGTGTGAGCCGGAGCAGGAGGGGCCATGTAACCCACTCACCGTGTGGCTCTGCTCCGGCCCCCTCACCTCTGCCCCGAGGCTCACGGTGACTCTCTCTCCCCTTTCCCCCCACGGTGCTGCTCCTGCAGAGGACGTCCAAGAAGGTATGCCCACACCCCATCTGCAGACAGAGCCCCCCTTCCTTCTCCTGCCGTCCCTCCCCCACTCCCCATGCCCCTCTGGCCACCATTCCTGTGGACTGGGCAGGGTGGGAGTGGGAGGCCTGGAGTGCTGCCTCCATCAGGACTGGCTGATGGGTGCGGGCTCCCTCCTGGCCCCCTGGCAGTGAGCATTCAGGGTGTGGGGCTTCCAAGGCCCTCTTGAGCCCCAGCAGAAAGGTGGGAGGGCAGGTGGGGTGAGGCAGAAGGCCAGGCTGAGGCCCGAGGTGAGGATCCAGGACCCTGGGGACCTTGTATGCCAAGGGGCAATCAGCCAGGGCCTGGCTTCCCGGCCACAGCCTGGGATGGAGCTAGACACAGCCGGGCCCAAGGAGGCCACTGGGTGGGCCTGCCCTCTTCTCACAGGCCTGACGGAGCCCCAGGGTGGAGGTGCGGGAGCTCTGGGCTCATGGCCGGGGTACAAGTGGGGGGCTGTCCTCAGCCCCCTGCTCATAGGTGCCGGGTGGGCCTGCACCCCAAACACAACCCTGACAAGGCCTTCCCTTCCCTGACTGGGCCTGAGTGGGGGCGGGGGCCCTCAGTGCAGGCAGGAGTCCAGAGAACCTAGGGCTCCGAGGTCACCAGGTCACCCTGGCAGCAGTCCTGACGCCCACAGACAGCAAGGAGGTGGGGAATTCGAGGGGTCCCCTGCCTGGGGGAGCAGTGTGCATGGCCCCTCCCCTCCAGCTCTCCACCCTCCACCATTCCCTCTGTGGGCCCTGCCCTCCTGGACACCTCAGCAGCCCCTTCCGGCCCCTGCCTGGCCTTCCTCTTGGCCCTGTGCTGGGTTCCTGCTCCCCAAGTGCCCAGTCTCCCTGCCCTGTGACCCACCCTGAGGTGCTGCGTGCGTGCAGGGCAGGGCTGGCGAGGCCCAGGGCAGCAGAGCAGTGCCAGTGGGCAGAAAGCAAGCCTCCTTGGGCAGTACATGTGGATGGCCCTGTCGTCACCCAGGGGCTGGAGCAGGGACTGAGGGGTGGGGGCCAAGGTGCTGCAGACCGGCTGCAGACCCTGGGCTGTGCAGGCTGGCTGGGAACCCCTCAGGGCCAGGGCAGGTGGGGGACAGTCAGAAGAAGCAGCCCCACGGAGGCAGATGGGGGCCAGGGTCAGGCCCGGGGGGCAGTCTGAACGGTAGGCTGCTTACAATAAGGCAGTTCCCATGAGGTAGCCAAGGGGCAGGTGGCTGGTTGCCCATCCTGCCTCCACAACAAAAGCTCTTAAGGGGCGGGGGAAGCCTTGCTAGGGGGGACAGGACGCCCCCTCCCCACCCCGCCCTCAGAGGCGAGCTAGCAGAGGCTTCCTGGTCCATTGTCAGGCCCCTGGGCGGGGAACAGCAAGGCTTCCGCAGGGCCGAGGTGCCCAGAGGCTTTACGAACCTACTTGCTCCAGACTCACAAAAAAAACCCAGGGGTCCGTCTCCCAGAACCGCCCACCTCAGCTTCAAGGCGCCAGTGTTGGGGAGGGCCTCAGCTTTCCAAGGTGGGCCCTGCCAGCCCCCAGAGAGACTCAAAAAAGCCAGCAGTCAGCGCCCATGGGCCCATGGGCATCCTGGTCCTCGCTGGCTGCAGCCAGCCCCTCAGGCCTCCCCGGACAGTGGTTCTCCAGCCCCCTGCTGGGCCTAGGGGGCTCCCCCAGGGCAGGAGAGGTCCAGGTGCTGCCCCTGGGTGCCAGCCTCCACGGCCTCATAGCTTCCCTCCTGCATACACGCTTCTGCCCTGGGAAGCCACCAAGGGGCAGCAGGAGGACAGGGCGGCTGAGGTCCCCACCGGGCTGTCCGGACAGACCCTGAGACTGAGAGGACTGACCCCCCGCCAGCCCTTCTGCCCCACCCCTCAGCCTCAGTGCCTGTCCATTCCCCACTCCTGCTCCGGCACTGGGGCCTCAGGGGGCCTGTCTTGGTGCTTTGCTCAGCCTCCCATGAGGCTTGGCCTCCCAGGGGGCTTGGCTGTAAGGCCAGCAGGCAGGGTCCAGCTCCCCAACTTCTGCCCAGCACAGAGGTAGGGGGCCAGCAAGCTAGGAGTGCTTCCTCCGTGTGAGACCACCTTCCTTCTTCTTCTGTCCTGGTCCCCACACTCTGAGCTCTCGGCACGCAGTGGGGACCAGACCCTCTTGTGCCTGGTGGCCGGGTGGGATGTGGTAGGGTCAGTGGGAGAGGGAGAGGCAGGCAGCCATCCAGGCAGGAGCTGGGGAGGCCCCAGCAGTGGGCCCAGGGCCATGGGCAGGGTGGGCTACCCCGGCTCACCTGGCCTGTCTTGTTCTCTCCCCTTCCTCATGCCGGTGCTGCGCTGACCAGAGGAGAAGCCAAGACCCAAGTGAGTGTGGCTGGGGGCACAGGGAAACTGCCACCCTGAGGCTGGGACTGGGTGCCCTGGAGGCAGCCGGTGCATCTAGGTTGTGTGTGTGGGGGGGGACAGGACTGGCCTGAGAGAAGGTGGCTGCTTCTCTGCTCTTCTTGATTCGGTGTGTGAAACAGCCATGTGATGAGAGCGGGGTTATTTGGGGCAGCCAGAGCCTCCCCACAGTGGAGGGTGGGCTCCCCCCTCCAGCGATGGACCAAGATGGATTCTGGAGGTCCAGTCAGGTGTCACTCACGACAGGCAAGGTGGACTTCCTGAGGGAGGAGGCTACCCACCAAGGGAATGGTGGAGCCTGGCAGAGAGAGGGGCTCCCAGAGACTCCCCTGTGCCCAGCCATGCTGTGGGGGACCTCAGGGCCCTAGACTACACTGGACATGGAAGTGAAGGGAGGGAGGGTCTTGCCCCTGACACCCCTTGAGCACAAAACTTTGAGCAGACCTTGGATTTCCCCTGCAGTGTGGACTCTGAGCCCCTTTGGGGACGCAGTAGCCCTGTTTGCAGGGCATTCCCTCATTTTGCCCACTTGTGAGCATTTCAGAGATTTTTTTTAACCCAACGATTCTGTTTCTGATAAGCACTCACAAGCCCCCCACACTCTGAATGGGATTCATTCCTTTTATTCCTCTGCACACCATGCAAGGAGTTTCAGAGCGTGGCAGCACATGCCCGGAGGTTGCTCCCACTTAGGGAGGCTGCGGATCCACAGAAGGAGGCTTCAGGCTATGCCCGGCGTGTTCCACGCATTGAACTTTATTTCTCATGATTTTAAATAAAGCTTCCGGGTCACAAGATATTTTCTAGTGAAAAAAAAAATGTTTGTGTTTTCATTATGAAAATAAAATACCTCATTAAAGAAAATTTGGAAAATACATAAAAGCCCAATGAAGAAAAAAGATCATTTATAATTCTCCCACCCAGCCAGCCAGATTGGGGAACAGAAGGAAGAAATAAAAAGGCTTTTTTGGTCACCCTTCTTCCGTGCATAGGGCTCAGAAAGAAAGGTTTAAACTCTGAGCTGTTTTCAAACACAGTATTATCTCTACAGCCTTGGGCTCTGCTTTTTAAAAATGTAGCACTATTCATAAGTATTTCCCGTGTTTTTACATAGTCTTCTTAAATATTTGGAATGGCCACACAATATTCCATCAATTGCGCAAACCATAATTTTCCTCACCATTCCACGAGGGCAGGGCATTCAGGCGCTCCCCAGTATTGTACTATCATAAATAACGTTGGGTGGAAGGCATTTTCTGTCACTCGGGTTATTTCCCTAGGCCACATTCCCAGAACTGGAATTACTGGGTCAGAGAGTCTGAATGGTCTTAAGGCTTTTGATGCCCTCTGCCAAGTCGCTCCCCTCCAGGGCCCTGCTGCAGATCTCCTCCTGGGGATGCTCTGCTGGGGATAGTCCAGGCTTTCACAGCACGGCCCCCCTCCTCCCCCCCCATGAATGAGAAGGGCCTGCGGAGTTGTTTGCATTTGCATTCCTTTATTGCTCCCAGTAAAGCTTTGAGTGCCAGTTGGTTAGCTGGCCTGGTTCTTCTTGGAGAATTGGTGTTTTATTCCGTCTGCCAATTTATCTAATGCAGAGGCGTCTCTGTTTTCTTAGCCATTAGTGTGCGTGAAGATGTAAGTCTTTATATTTGCTGAAAATATTTTTCTAGTCTGGTTTCTTCCCCTTCAATGTGCACCTTTTTTTCACATGCATACGTTTTTCATTTGTGCGGAGCCATCTGGCTATCTTCCCTTAGCAGGACCTCCGGGCGCTTCTGGGCTCAGAGAATCCTTCCCTGTTGCAGCATTCTGATCAGTAATCAGCTCTCCGGCTTGTTGTAAACAATTACTGTTAACTGTTTGCTCCACCTGGAACATACCAGGCGGGAGGCATGGGACTCATAGCGGTGGCAGCCCACCTGTGTGGGAGCTTCGTGTCCTTTTCAAACTGCTTCCTGCCCAGCCCCCTCCCTTTGGGTCCCCAGCAAGAATGGTTAAAAAGGGCCCAGAGAAGCCCAACGGCTCAGGGCAGCGGCTCTTGGCTAGAGGTGTGCGCCCCCCGGGAGGACCTGCAGCAGCCACCTGCCTTCTGGTCGGACCAGCTGAGCATATTGTTTGGGAATGACTGAGGGGCCCTTCCTGGATAGGCAGGCGTGAAATAGCCTCCATTGATGTCCAGAGGTTAGCAAAACAGAGGGACACAAAGAGGTTGAAACCTTGTCCGAGGGTCCAGCCACTCTCAGCACAGGGGTTATGCACCCATTAGGAATGGGAGCTCAGGCAATATGCCCTCAGCCACGTGCCGGGGCGAGAGGCCGGCAGTGCTACCTGCAGCAAAGCCAGGTAGGTGTCCGTGCGTCCCTGCTCATGAGCGTCTCTCCCTTCTTCAGGCTTACTGCTCCTAAGATCCCGGAAGGGGAGAAAGTGGACTTTGATGTAAGTGTGTGGGGCCCAGCTCAACACAGGCTCCACCCTCCACCCTCAGCCCCAGAAGGCCATCTCTTCTCAAGCAGCCAAAAATAGGGCTTCCTGGTTCCAGGCAATGCTGCTTTACTTTATCCCTGGACTAAAGGAAACTCTTCCACTAATAAACATCTTTCTTCCCTCCTCTGCCACCCATCCACCTATCCACCTATCCTTCCAACCACCCATCCATCTGTCAATCCATCTATCCATCCATGCACCCATCCATCCACCCACCTATCCATCCATCCATCCATCCATCCATCCATCCATCCATCCATCCATCCATCCATCCATCCATCCATCCATCCATCCACCCATCCACCCATCCATCCATCCACCCACCCACCCACCCATCCACCCATCCATCCATCCTTCCATCCATCCACCCACCCATCCATCCACCCACCCACCTTGGACCACCCCGAGGAAGGGCTCCATTCCCACCCCGTGGCTAAGGGGTCAGGTGGTCCACAGCCCCCAGGAGGGCATCACAGCGGGCCAAGGCTGGAGAGGAGGGCGTCTCCCCCCGCAGGACATCCAGAAGAAGCGCCAGAACAAGGACCTCATGGAGCTGCAGGCGCTCATTGACAACCACTTCGAGGCGCGGAAGAAGGAGGAGGAGGAGCTGATCGCGCTCAAGGACAGAATCGTGAGTGCGCGGGCGGGCGGGCGGGGGCCGCGCGGTGGGGGCTGTCCCGCCGGCTGACAGCCCCTCGCCCCGGGGCCGCAGGAGAAGCGCCGCGCAGAGAGGGCCGAGCAGCAGCGGGTCCGCGCCGAGAGGGAGCGGGAGCGCCAGAACCGCCTGGCGGTGAGTCCGGGGCCGCGCCCTCGGGCCGGCCGGGAAAGCCCCGGCCTCCGGCCTCCCTCCCGCCCTGTGGCCCCCACCTCCCGGGTCAGCCAGGGGGCCGGGCCCCCCGCTCAGCGCCCTGCCACGTGAGAGCGGCAACCAGGCCCCGGGGCCGCCAGGGCTCCGGGCTCGGGGGTGTCCTCGCAGCCCCGCTCTGAAGTCTGGGGGTCCCTCACAGGAGGAGAAGGCCCGCAGGGAAGAGGAGGACGCCAAGAGGAGGGCGGAGGACGACCTGAAGAAGAAGAAGGCCCTGTCCTCCATGGGCGCCACCTACAGCAGCTACCTGGCCAAGGTGTGCGGCTGGTCCCCGCACCCGGGGCAGGGCTGCGCGGCGCCCCCGCTGAGGCCGGCCCCGCGTGTCCCCTCAGGCTGACCAGAAGAGAGGCAAGAAGCAGACAGCCCGGGAGATGAAGAAGAAGATCCTGGCGGAGAGACGCAAGCCGCTCAACATCGACCACCTCAGTGAGGACAAGCTGAGGTGGGCAGGCGGCGGGCCTGCGGCGGGCCTGCGGCGGGCGGCGGGGCGGGCCCGGGGTTCTGGGCCCTGGGCTGTGCCGGCTCATCCGCTCCTCTGCCACCTCCCCAGGGACAAGGCCAAGGAGCTCTGGGACACCCTGCACAAACTGGAGACAGACAAGTTCGAGTTTGGGGAGAAGTTGAAGCGCCAGAAGTATGATGTGAGTGTGCCCCCGAGTGTGCCCAGGCACAGGCCGCTGTCCTGCCTCCGCACTCCTGAGCTCCCCTGAGCATGGCAGCCTCGACGCCCGGGGTCTGGATCTCCTGGGCTTGTAGAAAAGATGTGGGTCATGAGCTCCCCTGGGGGACCCAGGGTTCCTCTGGCACCAGGATGCCCTCCCTCATAGCCATCCCTGCCACCCAGGCCCTGGGACCCCCAAGGTGGGCAGAGCACACACACCCCTGCCCAGTAGCTGGAAAGGGGGGTGGGGCTGGGCCACTCTGGGGGTGGCTGCCAGGAGTCACCTTAGAGGGACTTGCAGCAAAGAAGAGCAGCCCTGTGCAGGACTGTTCCTGGGCGGCCCCGGTGCCCCGAGGCAGGCTGGCAGGCTGGCAGGCCCAGAGACTAACCTGCCCTGTGCAGACGGGTACCTCTAGCTCCACCATCAAAGGTGACGTGCCTCTGGCTGAGCTCCTCCAGGGCCCCAGGGGAAGGGCTCACACCCGCAGGGCACTTGCCACAGCCATCCCTGCTGGCCACCAATACAGAGGGTGCTGGGTGCCAGGTTCTGGTAACTGGGAGGCTCCTGGTCCCTCTCAGGAGCCCCGTGCCCCTGGGGACGTCCCCTGGTCCTCTGTGCCTCAGTCTCCTCATCTTGAACAGAAGGAGGGGCCCCCAGGAGCACATGCATCCCTGAGGGCCAGCAGCGTCCAGGGTCAGGTCAGAGCTGCTCCCTCTCCATCCCCTGGGAGGGCTGGCCCTCACGGAGCCCAGACGGGCCCCTCTTGTGGTCACAGAGTTAAATCAGGGACCAGTGGCCGCTGACGCACCCACGCACAGCCCTAGTGGGACTGGGGGCTGGAAGAGCCCAGGCCAGCCCAGCACACCACAGGGCCCGAAGCCTCAGCCGCCCACCCAGCCCCGAAAACATGTTGGTCTTTCTAGATTATGAACATGCGGGCCAGAGTGGAGATGCTGGCCAAGTTGTAAGTAGCCGGAGTCCACTCTGGACCGGGCTCCTGGTGTGCACTGCACGGTGCGTCTCTCGCATGGCAAAATCTGGTCACTGAGGATGTTGGCGGCAGGGGGCACCAAGGGGGCAGAGGCCCTCCTCCCCGCTCGCCCCCTCCTCCACACTGCCTGCGACTGGAGGCTGAGCTGCTGTCTTTGCTGGCAGGGGGCAGGGCCTTGCCTTCCCTGAGCCTGAGCCTCTACCCGGGCAGTCAGGAGGAGGGAGCCGCTGGGGACAGGAGCGGGAGGCCCAGTCCCCCGAGCTCAGTGCCCCCGAGGGCCAGGGGCTCTGTGTGCAAGCCTCACCTCCTGGCCGCGCCCCACCGCCCCACATCCCGCCGCAGGCTGGAAGGTAAGTGGCCAGCCCTGGAGCTGCTGTGTGTCAGGGTCCTGGCCTCCAGTGCCGGCCGCCACATCCTGAGGGCCGGAGGAAGAAGGGAGCACGTGGGCCTCGCTTGGCGCCCAGGCCTGCCGGGTCTGTCACGGTAAGTCGTCTGTGTTGTTACAGATCACCAACCTTAGGAGCCGCATCGACCAGGCCCAGAAGCAGTGAGTAACCCCACCCACCACTCGCTCTGCGCCAGGGCACATACCCCACAGGGACCTGGTGGGTTAAGCCAGTCCCGGGGGCAGCCAGCCCTCCACAGAGCAGTAACATGACTAACATGCCTGCCCAGGCCTGCACCCTGGGCACCCCCTCCCTTCTCCCCCAGCCCCAGAGCCCCAGGAGGACAGCAGATGGGGGGTGGGGCACGAGGCCCCGGGGAGTGTTGCCTCAAAGGTGGCCTGGGACAGGCAGTCAGGTGGTCTGGGCTTTTTCCCCAGCCCCTATTAAGACCCTGGCTCCCCAGGACAGGGAGCCCTCTGCTCTAAGTTCACCCCAGGGTCTGGGGGACCCATTACAAGAGCCTCTCAGCCTGAGAGCCCACACCCAGGGCCACCACTCTGGGACTCTGTCCCCAAGCCTGGTCACTGAGCAGGTCCACAGACCATGGAGCGCTTGGTCCACGGGACTGCCTGGAGCTGGGAAGCTCAACGGGAGCTCTCCCCTGTTTCCACTGGCCCTGCCTCTTGCTGCCCTCAGGGTTGGCCTCCTCCTCCTGGGGTGCAGGAGTCTGGTCAAGGTGACACCCCTTCTTCCCCGAGCTCTGTTGTGTGGAACGGGGTTGTGCAGGCCCCTTTAAGAGTGGGCCATGTGTGCCTGTGCATGTGTGTGTGTGCACGTGTGTGCAGTGCATGCCTGGAAGGTCCTGCAGGGCTCACGCTGCAGGCATGGCCTCCATCACCAGGCCTCCTCCTGAGGCCACCTTGGGTTCTTCATGGCCTTCTCCACCCGCCCAGTTGTCCCCAGGAGCCCACATACAGGGCACCCTCTCTGGTCCCCCTGCCCACTGCTGCCTGACCCAGCACGAAGCTCCCTTCTGGCTTGCTGAGGGCCTCAGACAGACAGGGCAGGCTCCTTAGAACCTCCACCCTTTGGGGTGGTGACCTCCTGACTCCAGGGTCAGCTCTGACGGGTGACTGAGGGGCTGAGACTTGGGACTGAGACAGAGGGAGCCAGGTCCCGAGTCCCTGAGGCCCTGGCCTACCGACCTGAAGTGCAGGGCCTGAATAGCCCCTGCCTGCCCCAGGCTCCCCTGCCCTGGGAGCTGTGACCTGGTGGGGCACAAGCCCTTTAACTGGGAAATGAGAGCCACCCGCAGGGCCAGCGTCTCAGGCAGGTGCTGCATGTGCATGAAGTAGGACTCTGGGGTCTCACTGCCCTGGGAAGGGGTGTCCCAGGCTCTCTGTGCCAGCCCCTCTCCTAACCACACTAACCACCTGGCACAAGGCCACCTAGGCCCAGCCAGAAGGCACAGGTGAGTCGCTGGTGCTTGGACTACAGCTCGTAATGTGTGCCAGGGCCCTTTGGGGACAGGCCAGGCCCCTCGCCCTGGCAGCAGCCTGAGCAGGCAGAGCTGCCAGGGGCTGGGGAGGAGACTCTGTCAGGGACCCAGACATCTCAGTGCTCAAGACCGACTTGCTTTCCATTTACAGCAGCAAGAAGGCCGGTGCCACCGCGAAGGGCAAAGTCGGTGGGCGCTGGAAGTAAAGCAGCCAAGGAAGGCCCCCGAGGCAGAGACCGCTGGGCACACAGCCCACATGGCAGTGTCAGGCTGTCAGGCCCGCTCCCAAGCACCCCCAGAACCTCTGTGCTCGCTGCCCCCACCCCCTGGGGTCTGCGAATAAAGCTGTCAGACTCCCCTGTACCAGGTGTGCACTGGCTCATGTACGGGGGCCCTGGGGGTACTGCAGGAGGGGGCTGGGGAGGGCAGAGGCTTCGGGCTCCTGCTCTGCAGCTTGGGGCCCGAGGGACACTGGGTGCTCGTCTCAGGAGTCAGCTCAGGTGGAAACTGTGGTCTGACTGTGCGTGGTGCTGGGCCCCACCTCCCCTGCCCAGCTTCCCCTTCTGTCAAAGCGCTTTCACCGCGCCGCCCCCTTCTGTCCGCTCTCCACCGCGGCCAGGGTCTTTGCCCCCCATGAGACGCCCACCACCTGGGTCAGCTCTGAAGCCGGTTTGCAGGGCGTCTGAAAGGGGCCTGAGCACACTGGGAGACTTCAGGGATGTCCCCCAGGAATGCGGTGTGAGCACAGAGTCCAGACAGGGCAGGGCCAGGGGACCCCCAGCCTGAGGGGCCTCACACCTTCGGGGGAAAGGACCGGAAAGCACATTTCAGTGGGGGCGGACACGGCAAACAGGCCCTTCTTTCTATATCAGAAGGGGACACAGTGTAATACATTTGAAAATCCTGACCAAATAGAATTATGGAAAATATAAATCACAGAAATTGGACGGAGGTGCAGAGCTTTGCACAGCAGCATATTCACAAGGAAAGCTTTTCCGAGTCTGTAGCCACCCTGCAGGGAGGCCCTGCAGGTGGGAGGGGAGTGGGGCGCCCCATTCAGTCTGCACGGTGTGCTGGCACCCCGACAGCAGAGGAACCCTCAGGTAGCGTGTGCACGTGTGGGCACCCCTCCCCACACATGTCCATGCCCCTCACAAACACTTACTGTGTGGGCAGCCCCAGCATCCATCCAGGCATGCCCTTCTGCCCACATACATATGGACACACACGACCCCCATCCCCCACCACATACACACCCAGAGGTGCACCCCACCGCCATCCCCAGCACATGGTCCCTCAGATGTGCACCCCATCCCCCATGTCCCCGTACCCACCCCAAGATGTGCACGCTCACACACACCCAGACATGCCCCCCCTCACTCCCCCTAGATGTGCACCCCCCACTCCATAGACCTATACGCGGCAGGCGTAAATACACTCGGTGTGACCCGTGTGCTTTGCTGCAGCGATGCAAAGGCAAACACCACAGTCAGCAAAAGACGGGCCCCACCGACCCGGTTCTGACAGTTGATGAGAGGCCAAGCTGTCCTGGGGGACACAGTCAGCATGTGTGGGTGGGACACATTCGCCAGATTCCAGATGAGGTGGCTTAGCACACTGCAGAGCAAGCCAGGCAGGGGCCGCCGCGGCGGGAGAGCCAGACAAGCAGTGAGGCTTCCCCGGGGGAAGCTGCCTGAGTGCATGCAGGCGGCACAGAAGCAGGCACTGACAAGGACTCCCAGCCAGCCCCAAGCCCCAAGCACGACTGGGAACGGCCCAGCTGCGGGTAGAATTTCCAGAATCTCTCGCCTGGCCTTCGTGCTCTCCATATCAATAGGTGATTAGGCGCAGGAGCCAGGGCGTATCTGGACCAGAGGTTGGGTGGGGCCCCTTTTTGCAGCAGGGTCACGAGACAGGAGAGCAGAAGTGGACAACTGCTTGTAAGCAATAAATGAGTTTCTCCACTTTATTTCACCCTTTGACTGATTTTGGTTTCAAACGCATTTTGCTCTGGGCTGGGAACATTTTCCCCTCACCCCCACCCCCAGAGTTACCCCAGCCCTATAGCCTTCTGCAGCCAATTCAGGACCAGCATATATTTGGAAATGTAAAAGCACACAATGGGAGGAGGGGGAAGGGGTCTCAGTGGCACAATAATTCGCGATCGTAATAGAAGTTGGTCACAGGGATGACAGTGAGACAGACACCATGGGTTTAGGCAGAGTAGGGTGAGGGCCTCTGGGAAAAAGCAAAGCAAGATAATTACAGTCAGAACAATGTAACAATGTGCAAAGAAGTCCCTGTCGAAACTCCGTGTTCAGCATTATGCAAAGTCAGGGTCTCACTATTCTCTAGGGTAAGATACCAGACTAGGAATATAGACATTCTTCAGTGAGATCAGCTAAAGCTGGAAAAGGCCAGGAGCAGCTTAGCCTGGAATGTTTGAATGTTCCTCAGATAAAGAAAAGTATCTCAGCATAACCTGTGACTTCATCGTGTCAATTAGAACACGACCCTAAAATTTAACTTATCCTGCTACAAGGCCCAACTTATTTTTTTTAACTGTACGTATACGCTGTGTTTCCTTCTCTAATCTGCAACCTGGGCAAAAGATCAATTTGGTAAGCAATCCCAACTATAAACAGCCCAAGAAGTCAAGAAGTAAGATTTTTACCATCCTCTTTAGCAAACAGACAACAGCCCAGTCCACCTTGGGGGCCAGGGCAGGCGGTCTTAATTGATATGGTCCCAGAGGAAAGCTGCTATCCGAAGAAAGAATCAGAGCAGCAGATTTCTTGTTTACTCATCCAAAATGAGCGGGGTTTTTTTTGCACTCAATAATTCCTCAAAAACCCCTAACCCTTAACCCCCATTCCTCAGTCATGCTGAAAGCCCCTAGCCTCTTGTCCCCTCCTGGCGTGAGCCAGGAGCTCTGTCCTCTCACTGTATCTCTCAATAAAAGCCTCCAGCCCGGCTCTCCTACCTTGGGTGTTTGCTCAGTTCATTCTCCGACTCCACAAACAACAACCCCAGCATCGGTTCCACAGGCAAAGGGCTGCAAGGGGCAGAGGCCCCACGTCAGCCAGGTCACCTAGTTGTGCTGTGAAGATGCCCTGCAGCCATTCCCGCCTGGGTCACAGGACAGAGCACCTCACTCCCCATCCACAACCAGGAAGAAAACCGGCCTGGAGTGCTCAAAGCAGATAACCTGGTCTGGCTCAGGTTGTGGAAAATGAATCTTTAAGGGGGAATTTTAGGCGCGGTGAGGACTAGCTAAGACTGGAATAAACTTAACTAAGTGAACACGTTTTAGTATCAAACATAAGCTGATGCAAAATCAGAATTTGGTTTTTGTTCTGAAAAAGAAGTTTCCTTGCATCATCGGTCTGCTCTTGGCAAGATATCTCTAAAAAGTTCTTTCTTTACTGTTAGAAACGGCACAAACCTAAATGTGATTTATTCCCAGAGGAATTAATGTTTAAACAAAAGGGTACTGACAAGAAGCCTACATGTCAGAACATGTACCAGACAGTCACTCCGGCTGGGATGGGCAGGGACACTGGGAGAGAGAGGGCTGTGCGGCACTTCAGAAAAATGCAGAAGTTTTGAAGCAGCCAATAAAATTAAGACAAATGTAAAGAAAGCCTAATATAGATATAACTTGCTTAGACAACATCTGGGAAAGACTATGAAGCCCGGATACTCAGACAGCGAGGAACCAGGGGAGGGGCTGGCTTGCTAAGGAATGAACTGCTTGTTGTAACCGCCCTGCCTGCGCCTGCTCACCAGACCGCTCCTGCCAGACGGCTGTTAAAGCCTCCCTCTGCTCTGCTCTCTGACTCTGTGTCCATTTATCGAGGTTGGACCAGTGAGCATGTTTCTCATGGTCCCCATTCTGCTTGCCAACTTGGGGCCCCTCACTTTCAAGTGCACTTCTTAAATGATCTTATCTAATCTAATCAAGATGTTTCTCACAACAGTCATTTTGGCAACGGTTTGGTAGGACCCTAGTCACAAAGTGAGGGCATCCCACATTGCTGTCCAGCCCTATTTGGGGGCCCCCAAAATGATGGTCACAAGACAACAATCTCATCTAATTCCAGGTTGTCTTTAGTGAGATATTGTCATCTCTGTAGATATTTATCTCTTCCGTAGAGATAGGGACCGTTGTTCTGAGGCACAAAATAAACAGGTGTGCCTGGGTTGGTGTGCTTCATTTTTTAGCATTTAAGGATCCCATCTTTATTTACTCATTTATTTTTAGCTAAAGTCTTTGGGTCTCTCAGAGCCAAACTAATACCTAAACAGGCGTTGGGGGCTGGGCGTGTTTTCAGCGGACCTCACTGTGTGGAAATTTTCTGGAGATCAGCAGGCAACCTGGTGTCCTAGTGTCAGTCAAACCCATTCTGTGACAGACTTACCCTAACATGGGATCTTGAGTTAGGTAGGGGCAAGCTTTTAAGTGCTCGATCTATGCCCACCGAGTTTTGCTGCTTTCCTGGTTCCTGGAGGCCCATCAGCCATAGCCTTTATCTACACAAAACAAGACAGACGTGCAGCTGCGCACGCCACACCAGCGGTAACCAAGATTATTGTTGCAGATTGGCCGAGAGACTGTCATGGCACCAGCAGAAGATCCCGACCTGGAGCTGGGGGTGGGGAGAGCCCCGAAGTGAGGTCAGCAGGCAGGGCTGGGTTTCCACCAAGGGGAATTGCAGACTGAACTGAGGACGGGGGGCTTAGGTTGCAGGAGGAACCATTTGCCAGCTCAAGCCGACTGGTCCCATAAAAGAACACTCCACACAGAGTGGAGCTTGGAACCAGGAGAGACTTACTCACAGCCTTTGGAAATGGTGAGAAAGACGGAGAACTCAAAAAGCATCTGTGGTGCCATGCCTGTGTTTCTCACTGTCCCTGAATGCCATCAGAAGTTCCCCTTTGGCCCCACCACTGCTACCAAATTTGCTTTAAAAAAAAAGAAAAGAGAAAAAGAGTAACCTAAGATCCTATTGGCTTTATTCGGCAATTCATGAATTGGACAGCATCTCACTAGCAGGTAGAAAGGAACCTGAACAAAACAGGAGGCTTTTATAGGCAAAAGGGGACAAGGACACAAGGCCAGCTTACTCCATCTGTTTTTGGGGGACAGATGGGGCAGTTTATCTCACTGGTGCTGACTAGGAAATTCCATATTTCCTGGTTTAGGATTACATTCCTGGGAGAGGTTGAAATGGCAATGAGCTTAGGTTATTAAGTCTCAGTTTGGTGACATGGGCTTAGCATGAGTGACTCCACTTTCAACCTGTTGTCTCTTTCGTAACATGCTCCTCAAAAGACACCATAATCCAAACGAAATGCAAGCC